GCTTTTTTTTAAGCAGAAGCAGTTGCAAACACTCCCTAAAGCCCCTTTAATTGTGTGTTTAGGTCCGATGCAATCCGTACATGATTTTATTTCTTCATTTTGGACTGGCGTAACCCGAATTGAACTTTCAAATTTGCAATTCAGATCATTGGAATCCGAAAATAAGACAGAGATGGTCAGATTCCAAAAGAGTTCAAATGGATTATATTTCCCTTCTTTTTACCTTATTTTGTGCAAAAACTTATTGTCATTTACTCCATTTTGATTGTGAAATGTGAAAGGTTAATTTACGGCCTATTAGACGTCCTATTGCATCATTATCTTTTCATGGGCTAAAATGTAAATGATTATTGCCTAATTCTTTTTTCGGATGTCCGTTTTCTATTGTAGGTATGCATAATGCATCAATCGGTCCACTTGAGATAATTGGATTTCCTCGATCAAACACTTTTGAACATATGTCTTACCCTAGAAATGATTGTTCATATAAATTTGGAGGTCTTTCTTATTAAGAATGTAATCATTTTTACTCTATTTGCATATGAAAAGCCTTGTAAATTGAACACTTTCGTATTGATAGAGCAAAAGTGTCTTACTAAAAAGACTCTAAGCTCTTTGTTGGTTTGGATAGTTGAGATGTGTTTGAAGCATGTGATACTTTAAATGACAATTTTTTTTCAAGTAAAGAAGGCAATACATTAGAGTTTTCTTGTTTTAACAAGTACTCCGTATATTTTAAGAACAATATGTTCTTTTAAGAAATTTTAAGAACAATATTATAAAAATAAATACTACCTCCGTTCTTAAATAAGTGCAACATTGCAAAATTTACACTATTCACATGTTCTACTGTGACTACATTTTATTTATTGATGTATTAATATATATTTTTGAAAAAAAATATTACAAAATTTGTCTCATTGTAAATTTTCAAAATCTGATTTTTTTAATTTTTTTTACTAATAGAGAGTTATATATATTAATGGTCAAAGTTGTGCCTCGACAAATGTGAAATGTTGACTGTTGCACTTATTTAAGAACGGAGGTAGTATTACAAAAGCATTTTGTAACAAATAATTAAATTCCATAGAAAGGAATAATTCACTATCAATAAATAGTAATAAGAAATTTATGTAAAATGTAAGCAGTAATTTGAAAACAAAAAGATGATACTGCAACTCAATTTAAAATCCTACTTCTAGCAAAGGGAATCAAAACTATATCAAAACCGATTATCACAAAACTATTAATAAATTAATACGAAGTATACAATATATATAACAGGCCGGGCCGGGTACCCGGCATTTTATTATTTTGGAACCGGTCTGGTTCTTTAAAAAAATTACCCGACCCTACCCGGACCGTTTTCATGCAACAAAAAATGGAATCAGCCCGTCATTATCCGAACCGGATCACTGTTCCAAGACCCGTTTGTCCACCCCTATCTCGACGCACCAAAACTTTAACCGGGCGCACCCCTATCTCAGACACATCTGTCATGCTTGGACAACTATAGCCTCATTCTTTTTCTTTCTTTTTTTTTTTTTAGAAAAGCCTCATTCTTTTTTAATTAATGAACCGTAATGGGCATTGTACGAAGTACTGGGCGGCAGGAAAAAAAGGATTGGAATTGAATTACGTTTGTCAAACTTTTATTTTTCAAGAACATTTTTAGTACTAGCATTAAAAATATGTATCTAAACGCCCTATACGCTATAGTTAGAAAACAATTAGGATTAATATACTGTTGTAAAAAACTACTCTGTATTGTAATAAATATGTATTACAATTATGAAACCCTCTAGGCCAGGGAGGGCCCAAGCTCAACCTGAAAAAAATAAAATATATATATGTATATATATATATGTTTTGGTTCAAATAAGAACATGATCTTATGAGAAAAATGAGAATGAATCTGGACCGTTAGATTTACTTTACGTGAAATTCAATGTACACTAGATGAAGCTGTAATGTGTATTAGGCGACATTGAAATGTGCAACACAAAAGGTACGATGTAGTGGCATTATGTGAAGCTAAATTGTGCATTAGGTGAAATTGAAATGTGCACTAGATGAAACTAAAATGTGCAGAATAAAAGGTACGATGTAATGCTATTTTTGTACGTTTTATTCTGCACATTTCAGTTTCACCTAATGCACATGTGAGTTTAAATTTTTATTCTGCACAATTCAATATCATCTAATGCACATTTCAGTTTCACCAAATGCACAATTAAGTTCAACATAATTTAATCCAACGGTACAGATTCGTTTTCATTTCTCTCCTAAGATCCGTTCTTACCGGAACCGCTCCCTATATTATATATATATATATATATATATATAAATAATATGTATATATTGTTATTATGCAATGGTATACTTTAAAAGAAAGTCAATTTGCCAACAAATACTGTGTGGGCAAGTTGAAAGCAGAGTTGCACGTATAGCTTGTAGTTGAAATCAGTTTTCTTTATTCTTTCTCCACCCGGGAAGAATAAAAGCATTCTTCCTTTTTTTTTACTCCAGGGGAGGTCTGGGGGGAGGGGGCCTAGGGCCTAGAGTAATCAGGGATGAAACTCACTTCATTGAGTTTTGAATCCTTATGTGTCTAGCGGGTTTCGAACTCGAGACCTCTTACTAGGCACGGTAATCTCACAAACAGCTGGGCTGGAATGCTTGGTTTCCTTCAAAAATGTATATCTAAACTTGGTCTCCTAAGTTCAATTACTACAAGCTTAACACCAATTTCAAATGATGGATGAGCCAGATACTAATATTGTGAACGCTTTTGGGATTTTAAATTTGTTAAATTTATTGATCGTGGTAGGTGAAGGTTAGTTCAATATGTATGAGCTTGAGGTGTTTTTTTCTAAACGACAAAAATTCTTATTTCTGTTATATTTATTTTGTCTTCGGCATTTCATGTTTAAAAATAAATTTTGTTAAATGACAAACTATTTTACTGCATTTTGACATCTTTTACAATATATGTCATTTAATTAAATTTTGGCCCCTGCTGAATGGCAATGCTAGATCGGCCCCTGTTTACCGCTCCCTGTCTATTCGTCGTCTGTGCTGCCTCCTAATATGTCTTCGCCTGTGACAACTCCAGATTGTGGCATTGATCCACGAACTCCTCCATTGGACTAACGCAGAAAGCTTTGACACACGCTATTTCTTGGAATCCTTGAAGACCCAACCCCTTCATGCTTGTATATCACACTCTTCTCTGTGCTAATAATCTTCGATGCACAAGAAGAGAAAAACAACACTCACACAATCGGAGGCGATCGGCGGGAATAACAAAGCCCTACGTAGAGGGACACAGCCACCCAAAAGCAATTAATAATAGGAACGGATGATCCTTGCTCTCAAAGCAGTTAATAATAGGAATGGATTAAAGGCAATCAAAATGTTTTAAGGGAATGTTTTTAGTTAGATCAAAATTTTATATAATGATCTTTTTAAATTTGATTTGATTTACTTAATTTAATAGAAAACCTCTCAAGATAAACACCTACTCCGTAATAATAAAAAAAAAAAAGAGTATTTTTTAAAAATTTACATATGCAATATATGTGTCATTTGAAAGATTATAAAAATGTATTGAGGTCGATGATTTTTTTTTGTCAAAATCGAAACATAAATGAATATGTTTTACTCCATAACATTTAAAAAAACTAATTGAGTTAATTTTGAGAATATAACATATTAAAACAAACTACTAATTTACTAGCTTAGATGCGGCATATGTGTTTTACTCTATTTGATCTGCTAGGTAGTAGGTACATAAGTAGCATCTTAGTTTAACAGAAAAAGGGGGGCAAAATAGTCTACATGTGGTTAGATTTAGTAACATTGGGGGTGCACTAAGCAACGTGACTCAAAAATTGTTCGTATACAGCTTTTTGGATCAAAGATCTATGCCTCTATGGTTCCAGCGGATTATACAGTTTTCAACAAAAATCTCAATTGCCTTTCTATACCTCCAGGGTCTTCCTATGGAAGTATGGAACTTGCTGCCAGAGTTTACATTTCAACGAAGATGCAAAGACGAAGAACACAGGGAAAGGGTGTGCTATAATGGGAGTAAGAATTGAGGAAACACATGAGGGTAAGTTTAAATCAGTACTCAGTAGTCCCTAGCCAGTCCTAGTTCGGTCTAATCCCGGGATCGGTACCATGTTCACACCTAGCTACAGAACATGGTCGTGTAGGGGTGAATCTGATCCCGATACAAGACCAAGCTGACACAGGCCAACTTTCAAACCGGGACAAGAAAATAAGGTTCTGGGCTAGTTCCAACCGTTCCTGCCCTGGTTCAGGTCTCATTTTATATATTAATTTATTTTACATTTGAACCATTGAAAGCATTTTAAAAAGGATAACGGTACAATTAAAAGCTGTAAAGGGGGTGGAGAGAGGGTTTAAATAAATAAACGAATGAATAAATAAAATAAATAAATAATGGGACTGATCCCAAGCCCCATATTTTTCTCCAAGGACCGGTTGGTCAAGATCAGCTCTTGGAAAAAGGTCATGTCCACCCCTAGGACTGAGTAAACATGTATACTTGTCCCTTGACCAATACCAACTTGCACAGACTAGGCAAATTGATTAATTTTGGCACGGATCATAACATGATTTTGGCATGACGTTGTGCCAAATAGCTAGTGACAAAGCGGCATTGGCATGGAATTGAAGTTTCTGTGCCACATCCGTGTCAAAATGTTGTATACCCTATGAATTTTGATCAATCCGTGTCAATTTTAAGTAGTTAATTAACTACTTGAAATGGAACCAGGTCAGTTTTTCACATATAATGGCCCAGTCCTAGTCCTAAACCTGGTCTAACCCAGTGTTTAGTTACTTGCATTGTCCAATTGATGTGATCAAATTAGTCAATAGTTCAATGCACAAATTGACAAGAAGCACATCAATTTCAGATTCAAAATAAATGTGCAGCCTGAACATTTTAAGGAAAACAATACAATACATGTCAGCATTAAATCATTAAGGAGAATGCACTCGGTCAAAGTGGCTTGTATTACCTCATAAAACGTTACAATACATAAGATAACAGTATGCTTTGAGTAAAAATGTTTTATCTAGACTACCCATTTAACAGAAAGCATGTTACATATTGCTATTTTGATTTTCTCATACTAAATAAATAATGCACATGGAAAATCAAGGGGGAAAGAGCAGGAAAAATATATAAAATAATGGAAAAAAGAAAGAAGCTAAATTGATTCCTAAGGACCATGAGCGCAACTCTATACAAGAATAATCAACTAGCTAAGCAAAGCTTTTGGAGACCTAACTCTGAAGTGATGAGCCGCAGCAACACTTGCACCAATTCTCTTACCCTTGTTTCCCTGCCAAGATGAAGGTCAAAATGATAAGAGATTATCCCTCTGTACACTCATAAAAAAACGATAAGGAACAAACAAGATTTGCCACTTATTTGGTTGCAGCCATAGACAACAAAACAATGTAGAAGTTGTAGACTTTACGCGTAGACCGAGTAGGGTGAATGCATGGATAGTGATAGAACTGAGGTTGGGATCGCCCAACGGAGCCATAAGACACGCGTTGCTATTTTCACAAACCATAAAGAATTATGTATTTGTGAGGTAATTGGCATACCTTGATATGACGAGTTCACAAAAGGACGGAAAAAGTACGACCAAGTGCAAATGGTTCACATGATTCTCTTTTAAAAGGGCATTTTTCAATTGTGGATGTAAAGGAAGAACAGATGCGGTAACTGAATAAAGGGAAAGACGAGCTAATTCTTGGAGGACAAAAAGGACTTCTTCTATTCTTGCTGCAGGCAGTGGATGATCCCCTGAAATTAAAGTTCAAGATCTGATAAAATACGAATGAACAAGAAAAAAAGACATAATCAAGAATTCAAGACCCTAGTATAAGTATATGATATACCCAGTTCATTCTCGTCCTTCAAAAACTTGTCTAGTATGCATTCACATCTGGTCATTAACATTGCAATTGAGATTTTGCTAACTTCGGATCTTGTTGAACTTTGGTCAATTGTCCCTTGGCTGAAAATAAGAGATCGTAAAATCAGTAATCATGCATATCGACGAGGTATTGTTTGAAATCGGTCGTACACTTACCTGCTCAAGGAAAATAACTTCTGCAAGCAGGTCAATGAAAACCTGCTGCAATGTGGAGGCATAAGTTCAACGGTTTCAAGAGGTAAGGAGCACGTACGTGAAGCACATCTATCTAGGGTGGAAATTAGTCGCTCTAGTATCTACAGAAAAATTAAATTGGATTAGGGTATTAGACCCTGTGAGAGACAGCACATGGTTGTGCAGTTTGTGCTAAGAGAAAATGTTTAATAAGATTGAGACTAAGGTGTGATGATTACATCAGTAGGTGCATCAATCTGGGAGTTCAGAATTTTGTCTCCAAGGATATCCAATATACTCATTTCAAGAGACTCATCAGCTTTTAGTGCCAATACTGAAAGTGAAGTTGAAGGGAGAGCTCGGCCACAATACCCCACAAGAAATATTTCACAAATATCTGCAATTCCTTTCCAGACACGTATTTTTGAAGTTCTGACATTAGCTATATCTGCTCCTGAGCTTTTGGTCAGCTTGCTAAGATCATCAACCAGGAATTTGTTAAAAGTCTCAACTGCTATTCTCCAAAGTGTGCCATCAGGACTGTCCCTTCTTGTAGTCATACATCTATCAAGTAAATAAGGAATTACTGTCATTTTTCTAGTCCTGGATCAAAGGTAACAAAATAGCCAAAGAGCACTACTACAGAAAAATATAGTAATATATAACCTAATTTAACCACAACCTGTGGAACTAACAGTGATTCCATGCTAAGGTCTAAATAAAAAATGAAACATGATAGAATTTTATTATAACATGAGGTCATTGTTTCCAACTTTGGGGAGAGAAGGCTTTTAATACCTCAGAGAACAAACCCAAAAAACATACCTTTACAATGCCAAAATACAATTTGATGTTTGTTCAAAGTATACACATGTTAAAATTGAAGCGAAGGGCATGCTGTTTTATGAGTTGCTTTTTAGTTTTTACAACTTTACCTCATCGTAATACAAGCTTTTTCTTTGAACAGGAAAACATGGTCTTCCTGACTCTGATATACACATGTTTAAGTTTATTTTTCAACTAGTTTGATGTTGTCAATACTCAATACCGACCCAGTAGCACATCTCATCCAATAACTTACTAAAAAGGTTATTTGTTTGAATCGCAATTTGACCCCGTTCATTCTAGTCAGGTTATAAAACACTGAAAGTCCCTCCTCATGGTAGCACGTTCTGATGAGTTGTTCGAAGTCATGAAGAGTATATGGTCCATTTATCAACTCCTTGTTTAATGGATGAGGATGGGAGCAGAACCTTAGTGTTTGACCATCATTACTGGAAGGTGATAAATATGGGAGGGCCAACATGTCATGTTTTACCAAGATGACTCTGGTTTGAGTTTAAAAATACTGGGCCTTTGAGACTCGGAAGGGGGTTAATATGTAGTACATAATTACATATAGACATGGAAAAGGAGTGGTTTTACATTCAACAAGTTGATCACTTGCAATATATCACGAATTAGCTATAATGATTCAGGAGCTGCAACTGGCCTTCCATAGAAACCAACAGGAAGAACAAGGTCGGGGCTGCTCCGATATCATGCTAAATTTAAGATGCACATATATTTGCTGGATCTGAGTCCATGTGAGCCCAAATACAATATATACACATATTATATGTTTTGCAATATAACTTTATCATTACACATTGCAATGATTTAAGTGTAATGATCTTGACAAGCGTCAACTTTGTGTGTCACCTGATGCCAGCTTCTTTGAATCTACAGTTCTACACCATTATCTTAACCGATCACACCTAGCACTCTTAATGCATTTCCAGATGTCCTTCCAATCCTTCATTTCAAGGTGGTAGCTATGTCTTAAACTCATCCACCATCACGGACAGAGACAAATATACCACAAACAAAACATAATGAGTAATTTACAGGATAATAGTCTACTTCTTACACAGTTACACCCTTGCGTCCACATTCTACGTACACTTATACTGTTGCTCATATTGATGATGCCCCGTAGATTCATCCCCTGAACCATCTCTATCCTTAAAATTTTGTCAAGCACCATCCCTAACATCAAGTTCTCCTATAGCACACGAGATGGTATCATGTCAACTCGTAACCTTTTTACCATACATAATTTTATTTCTTTGAATTATCTTCTCCCTCATATAATGCTTTCATCACTTATTTACTGTTTTGTTATACTAAACCAAAAAACTCTGTTAGTCCCACTCAGTAGTTAGCTCTGGAGAGGGCAAGAGTACGCATACCTTATTTGTTTTTTGTCACTACTTCTAAATCTATTTGAAATGTTCTTCTCAAAGCTATGCTCGATGAAATTTAGGCCGCTTATTAATCTGAGGCATGGTAGTTTGTTCCTTAACCAGGGAAATTGCAAGGATATTATTATTTGCCAAATGCCAATGGATATATACTAAAGAGGCAATTAACGACCAAGAGGATGGGCTGTTGGGCTCAAAGCCCATCTCAGGCAAATCTGTAAACTCAAGTTTCTTTAGAATGCTTAAACTAATACGTTCTCGCTGGTCACTAGGATCACTTCAGTCAGGATACATAAATTGGATATTACTGGCTTCAATTCAAAATCAGTGACTTCATTTGGAAATCACTGGCTTTTGTTCCAAGGACATTAAAAATGGCATTTTACATAAGGATCTAGAGGACAAAGTCTATACGGAGCAACAGCCCAGGTTTGTTACACATGTAGGCGGGGGCTTGGTTTATTAATGCAAAAGGTCTCTTTATTGCTTCAAACAATCTCTTCATGCATGGTTTGAAAGGTTCAGTTTTGTGGTTTAGAGGATTGGCTTTGGTTAAAGCAAAGGAGACTGTTTTCTATAGACACTAATGGTGTACGAGCATTTATCTTATTGTTTATGTTTCCATCTTGACAATATCTTTATCACGTGAGACGATCTTAAGGAATACCACCACTGAAAGAATAGTTACTTCAATATTTACGGTATCTTTTGTCCAGTAACCTGTCTTGCTATTCTTTTGTTGAAAGTGTTGTGAGCCAGTTGTTAGCATCTCTGTGAGAATCATTAGGATATTGTCATACGTATCCTATCATACTACTATCTTTCTATAAAACACGTGTCTTGTTTCCTCCTCTACCAAATAGGTTAATGACTCGGGTGCTACAGATCATATGGCAGGTAACTATAACCAAATTTCCAAATTTAATACACATACCCATAAAACACATGTCACTCTTGCCATGGAACTACCTCACATGTCCTTGGATCTGGCACTATTAATCCCACCTTATACTCTCCTTGATATCTGTTCTAAGTCTACCAAGTTTTCTCTTTCAATCTATGAAACACAGAAACTTTCGGGAAAGAGTACTTTCCGTTTTGGAAATTCTTTGGAAACTCTCGAAACAGTTTTTTTCGAGCAAAAGATGATATTTCCCTTTTCCTTGTGATTTCATGTTTCAGTGCAACATAGCTTTGAATGTAATATCTGCAAGTAAACTTACACATGCCTTTAATTGTTGTGTCATGTTCTTCCCCAGTTAGTGTTTGTTTCGGGATCTTATGACGAAGAAGATTATTGGTAAGAGATATAAATCCGGCAGCCTTTACATCTTGGATGCCTCGGAGCCGGCTCATCTTTTGATGTACATTGTCATTTGGTCACCTATCTCTCCCGTTGTTGAAGACGCTATATCCTGAGCTTCAACATTTATATCTCATTTACAAGATTGTGTAAATCTTGATCTTAGAGTCAATAAACGAGCAAGAGCTTCTTTTGAGTTAGTTCATCCCTATATTTAGGGTCCATGTTCTGTTATATCCATATTTAGTTCAAGAATTCTGTTGCTTCTGTTGATGATTATTCTCGTATGACATGGTCATATCTATTGAAAAGTCTCTTTGAACAATCCACTCATTCTGTGCTGAAATTAGAACTCAGATCAATGTCCCCGTTCAAGTTCTACATAGTGATAATGCAAGTGAATACTTTCACAATCATGTACGTCCTATGACTGATAATGGCATTCTTCAACAATCCTCTTGTGTTGACATGCCCTCCCAAAATGGAGTGGCTGCGAGGAAAAACAGGCAATTAATTGAAACTGTGAGGACCCTATTATTCCAAATGCAAGTCCCTAAGCAGTTTTGGACAGATGTGGTAGCCACAAATTGCTTTCTGATCAATGATCAATCGAATGCCATCTTCTTTTTTAAGGAAAAGTATATTGAGATTCTTAATCCCTTTTTCCATAATAATTAAAATTTGATTCTTTCTTCTTGTTTTTTATCCTTTTATTGAGGATATTGAGGAAACAGTCTCTCTATGCTTTAGTTCAGGGGTAAGACTGCGTACATCCGACTCCCCCTTACCCCACCGTAGGTGGGAGCCTTTGTGGCACTGGGGTAAATGAAAATGATGATGATGTTTTTATCCTTTTATCCTTATATATATAAACATTATTTTTATCCTTTTTATTTTATCATTTTTAGGTATATTCATCTCTTTTTATATCATCTTTTTTATAATAGCTTATCTTTTTTATCTTTATTTTCTTTCTTTTCCTTTTGGTGGTGATATCATGTATCGATTCATGTTAGCTGACCCCAATATCTTTTGGGACTAAGGCTTGGATGTTGTTGTTGTTTATAGATATAGAGAATATTGGGGCTAAATAAGACTGGAATAGGAAACATAGGTTTCTAAACACAGTAGAAGTATATTTGTATACAAATATACAGATATATGGAAACACAGTAGAAGTATATTTGTATACAAATATACAGATATATGGAAACACAGGAAGTATATTTGTATACAAATATAAGATATATGGAAACACAGTATGTGTTTCCATATAAAAAAATATGGAAACACAGTTTGTGTATACTTCAAATTTTCCACCAAGTGAATTGAAATTTAAGTGCAGAAACCCAAGCATTTCTGATGAATTCTTACCTTCCTAAAACATGAATAATGTCAGGGAAGACATCATACTTCACTGCAGCCGGAGCTTGCATGCAAATATCCACAACTACAGGAATAAGTTTCTCAGCAAATATATGACTTGATATGCTTGACACTGCAATTGATAAACTTTCTGCCTTCTTTGGGGCATTTGAAACAATTCTGAAAGGAACCTCTACACCACTGCCAGCTGCAAGGCACCCAGAGAATTATTTTCACGTTGTACATAAAAGGTATCATGATTAACAAGCATTTAGAACTCCTACTGTTTTCTTGGCCTCCTCCATCCTCAAATTTTTCAAGGGAAGAATCGCATCCGGGAAGATACTGCATTAGTTTCCCAAGCAGGGGGGGCCACATTGTAGCAAGGTGATTTGCTGGGCATAAGATTGGTAAGATCTCTAGTATTGTGCGTTGCAAAGGCGGAAGATGGCCCTAATGAAATAATAACAAACCACCTGATGAATAGAATTTCATATCATATGATTCATATATAAAGTACTAAACAAGCAGGTCCACAGGTATAAAAAATTCAGGGCCCATAGCTTGAGCGCTTTTAAAAATTTCTCAACTTCTATTTTATCTGCTTCAGTAAATACTCAACATATTCAGCTAACTGAAAAAAACAATTAGTCTTGATCTATAAGGCCTGTAATCATCAACTATAATGGAGAATTAGGATGTTATTTAGTAGGTCAGATAATAACAGGGTAAAGAACCAAACTGACATACAATCACATACATATTCAGCTTCAAAGTTGCTGCTGGCGATCTTGGTTTGTTTGATCCCCAGATCTACAACCTCCAGCAGCTTTATATACATGCAACTATCAAACATTTCCTGTGCTTGAACATATAGATCACCTGAAAAGAAGTACTTAGTGCATATTCACTTGCCAAAACTCAAAACTCTATAAATGGTCGATGAAGACCGATGAATAGACTTACCAAGACCAAGTAAAATTTCCTGTATCACTTTGCTTGTCGAACTATCGTTGTAGTTTGGTGACTTGGAAAGAACAAGCTCATAAACATCAAGGACAGATTTAAGGTATGGAAGTGGCAAATTTCCCTGTTTTATTAAAATGTTATCGAATGAAATTATAAAGTTAAACAATTCCATGAACCAATGTTTTCACTGTTTAGTAAATAAAACCACTTAATAGAGAGGCAACACCATTCTTTGTGAAGATTAATACCACCTTACCATGCAGAAAGGCAGATAGTGATAGTGCAGAAGTTCATATCATTACCTTAGGAGAATGAGAAACTATAGTGGACTGTAAGCAATTTATTGCTGCAAGAGCAACCTCTCTACTGCCATGCAAAATGCTGTTCTCAACGAGGCGCAGTAATGAATCCCATCCTATGGGTGCCATAATAGCATTCATTTAACAGGAGTACTCAAGCCGAATGTACTTCGGATTTTGAATTCTCAAAGCAGTTAGATTAAAAGAACAGCAAATTCACCTGATTGAAAATTACTTAAATTTCTAAGTAACGGAAAAAAGGTTCTTAAAATGCGAGCGATTCCACCCAACACAAGCACGAGTGTCTCATCCCATTGTTTCTGAGCAGTATTTCGACTGCAGATTGAAATAATTTCAATGTAAGAACTTTAGAAGCAAAAGTGAAACAATCACAACTAATTCCATGCAAGTGGGAAGAACCTATGATTATTAGGATTTGAGAATTTCATCTCATATTTCCATGCAAGGAGAGACATTTTGTCATTGTGCTTTTTTGTATGAATTTATTGTTAACTCATTTTAGACAAGTAATGACACTACAAATCAAGCCACCAACCCCATCATAGTTGGGGTAACTGTGAATGTGATGTAATGATGGTGATGTAGGCATTGACAAGATAAAGCACTTCAAAATTCATATACCTATGATGTATGAGCATATGAACAGCTTTCCCTCCATGTGTTCCAAGTTCTTTTCCTTGCCATTCAGCTCTTGAGGAAGTTGCAGCCTATGGAGCAAAACATCTCTGCCAAGTAAGTAAGCAACAACCAACTGCAAAAATATAACATACAATGGATAGTCACTGTAACATACCATGTGAGAAGCACTATCTAGTGTAGGAAAAACATAATTCCAGAGACAATCTTCCCACATGCTATTTGAAAGTTTTTGTCCATGGCTTCCCAGAATTTGAAAAAGTGTCCGAACAGCAGAGTTCCTGACCTAGAGGCATTTTCGGTAAACAATTAGGAAGATATGGAACATCTGATTGCTGCAATTTGCTGCAAACCAGGAAATTTACACTATCTGCAGTGGAGATATCATACAACAACATCCGAGACTTAGTCCGAAAAGATTTTGGGGTCAGCTAACATATTTTGACATATGAAATCGGAGCTTAAGTGGAGATACATACATGAAATATGAGTGGTCCGAGTAAAAAAAGGTTGATTAGTAATGTGCATATAGGAGGCCGCAATGAAGGACACCCAAGTCTACATGGTGGGTATGGTATGGTTTAAAAAAGAAAGTAATGTTATTAATAGAGAGTAAGGAGGCAAGGGGAGAAATCGTCAAGAAAGAGATAATGTTTTAAGACTTGTAAAACAATGAAGAAAATAAGAAAAATGTGTAAAAGAAGAAAGAAAAAACGAGCATGAAATACCCGAAGGTATTCCCCGGAAAGAGTACTTGTCAATAGACTAAAGCTTAAATGTAATTCTGGTTAACAAGACATTTGAATGTAATTCTGGTTAACAAGACTTTTAAATGTAATTCTGAGTAAAAAGATGTCAAATGCATGGAGATAGAGATAAATTAATGCCAATATATACAATCATGAAGATATCCAAACTGAGTTAATTGTCAAGGAATTATATAAATAAGTCACATTATCGAACTCTAGGAAAGAGATAGAAAGACAATTCAGAAGAAATACATGCATGTCAGACAACCATTCTTATTGTATGCTTGGATGATCAACAAATGAAGCTGTCTTTTAATTAAGGTGACTAATTGAACACGATGGTTCGACTGGTGTTGAGCACAGAATTAAGACACGCGATGGACAAAGTGGAGGAACGTGCCCGGAATCTTGTGTGATTTAAAGTTACCACTTAAACTGAGAGGATAGTCCTACAGAACAACTATTAGACCTTATATGTTTTATAGCTTCAGGGTGTTGGTCAACGAAAAATTGACATATTTTCATAAAATGTTGGTATCAAGGATGAGAATGATGAAACGGTGGAAGACACAAAGCAAGCCAAGGAATTATTACGACCGAGGTGATGATAGAGAAAGTTGGAGTGGCCCAATTGAGGATGAGATGAGACAGTACTGTTTGAAATGGTATATCTATGTGCACACTGCAGATGCTTCTGGTGGACGCACCACACTAACATTTACAATTTAAGAAGGGTAGAGAGTAATACCTAAGTTGACCTGATCAGAGACAACAAACACACAAGATCTAATGAGTATGGGGCTTATGAAGGAGATGATTATCAACCGGAACAGATGGAAACACTAGATTTAAACTTCCAATCATAAGTTCATAACTCATGCAGAAAAGCTTCATTTGGTTTGGTATGGCTAGTCTTGGAGTAAAGTAGATGATGGTAAGTTTAGATAGAACACTACGTTCAACTCTAACTTCCAAGAACCAAAGGTTGTGATTTATGTGCAGTTGTGCACTACTAATTTTTAAAAGCTTTATATGTCCGATTTTGCACTGCCAAATATATAAAAGTTCAGGAGTCTGATTGAATGTTCGTTTGGAAATGTGACCTTTTTATTTTAATTCACTTTTTGCAAATTTTAAGGAGAAAAGTATCCTAAACCGAGCAGTATTGTCGAAGAAGTAAATCTAATGGGCATCAATTTTGAGTTAAAAACAAGCTCATTAGTCATCTAAGACAGAATGCTGCATACCTCGGGTCTCTCGTCAGCTACCAGATTTTGTAGTAATGAAAAAACAGAAAAGAGCAACTTGTCACGATCAATTACATTAAGCTGCAATGCCTGCTCCCGATCTTTATTTGAGGCACTGAGATTATGCTCCTCACAAATCCCGTTGCTAATTTTATCTGAAACAAAATTTTAACACCAAAAGGAAAACGATATGAGCCAAAGGAATTCCAAAATATAGATCCCAAAAGAGAAGAAAATGGTGATTAAGTAGAAATGATTTCACCAGATTCTCCATGCTCTTCGCAAGCATCCTGGAATCCCTTGGCCCCCTTGACAAAAAAATCAGTAGAAGTCCAAAGAAGGCCTACGGCTGTCAGGCTAATATTAAGATCAGTTTTCTGTGCACTATATGATCCAGTAACGCCAATACAGCTGTAAATCAAATGAGAATTGTCAATGCCATTTCCTTCTTCCCACAAGTTGATGTGATAATAGACACAATAAGCATGAAATTTATGAAAACTGATGAAGCTCATGCATACATCTTTCCCTAGAGTGCACCAAAATAATTTACTTTGAATATTGTTGAATACATTCAGCATATGGCAGACAGAGCAGCTTTATCACTTACCACATTTTAATGCAGTCTTAAGTCATAACGGTTTTAGGTTTACTACTGATAAACCGAAACAAATGGTTTCTGGAGTCCACAATAGATAGAAGAGAAAGTTCTTAATTTGATTGATAATAGGAGAAAAAAAACGTTATACAGCCTTTTAAGGCAGCTTATATACGAAAAAGGAACCCTAGGCCCCTAGGGTAACTAATAATGATACCTTAAAGCACATGGGTAATAATAAAATGATGGGTCATAAGTGCACAAGTCTAAAACAAACTAGGAAGTGGGCTAAGCCCCCAGGTAATTATAAATTGAAACCGAACAGACTAGGATATAGAATGTTCTGAGAAATCATAAGTTGCAATTTTGAGACCATAAATAACCCGAAATCCCGAATGTGACCAAGCAGTTCTCTGAATCCCCTCATGAACTGTCATACATCACCAATAGGCCCAAATCACTCTTAGCAGACACGCAATTAGTTATCTACTTGTTTTCCACCATGCATTCATAAGATGATAAGAAACATTTATATAGCCACATTACAGCCTTACATAAAGAAACAAAAGAGAAGGAAACTGCATAAAATCCCACTGATCCCTTTCTCTTGTTTTTCTTTTAATTTATTCTCATGACGCAACAAAACCCCCAGGAATGTAACACGATTGATATCAAAGTTCACCATAAAAAAGACTTTTCACTGGGTATCAGAGCCACTATTATGGCATACTAATTTTTCAAATGAAAAGGAGAGCAAAAAATCCTGAAATATACAACTTTTCTTCAATTAATTCGCCGGGGCTGTCTTTTATGTTAAAGTTGAATTTGTGGATCATCTCAAGAGGAAGAGGCTGGCAGTTCCATAGTCACCGGAAAAATGTGCATGTGTGTCCACATGACACCACATCCTGATGTTCCAGCCGGCATGGAAGGCGCTCTTCCATGACTTATGATCAAACCTTCCACATTGGCTTACAACTTCTAGCATCGTGAGTGTGAGGTACCAGCCTCTCCATATCTGATTCTAAGTACTCAAACGGAAGAAGTGATTGTGGAGTACTAGGCAAAATCTGAAAAGCGGTTCTTCTTCAAATCACCCCAGAGCAGAATCAGTTTCGAAAAGTAGATCCAAACACCACTAAATAAAAGGTCAAACTATATTGTATGTACCTATGGTGCATCCTCTTTATCCTAGTGAGAGAACATAGTGTTCCCATTTCCCAACAACAACAACAACATCCAAGCCTTAGTCCCAAGAGATTTTGGGGCCGGCTAACATCAATCCAACATCCAACACTATTTTACTAATAGGAACATAAGATATTATTCATAACTATGGCGGAAGGTTATAAGATTTTGAGAATCAGAAGTTTCCTAGCCATAAATGGCAATGGAATAGATGATCTAGTGAGGATTATGGTTCAAGATATGGATTTAATATTTTCAGCCCTAATTTTGGTATATATAAAAAAACACAACAGACTTTGAGGCTTAAGCTGATACGAGCCTAAATTTTAGCCTAATCGGGATTTCTCTAAAGTCTATAACCGTAGGGGTAAAAAGGGGAAGGAACTATCAACACAAGAGAGTGGAGGCATAACCGACTAAGGAGGAAGTATCCGTGTGGTTGAGGGAATAAAAAAGGTAACGACTGGAGAGAGAGGGCATTCTGGAACGTGGGCAGAAGTGGTGGAGAGAGAGACCCTCTCGAACTGGTCTCAGTTTGTTTCTACGCCAGTTTATCTTTGTTGTTTTCAGTATCGTTCATCAACTTAACTGTAATTTCCTTGTTTCTGCAACCAATATAAAAATATATACTTGTGTGTGGGGTTTGTACGTATCATAAGCCTCAAAAAAGTCTTGAGTACGCTTCATTAACACCTAAGCTATTAGAGGCAAGCCTCTTTATTCTGCATTAGTCTGCAAGCCAGCCGAGCATCAAGATTGCCTTTTTAAACCAAGGATATGAGGACAAAGAACTGCCTGTCCGTGGTAAAGTGAGCCTCTTCTCAGCATTAGAAACATTTTTGGTACATGGCATTGTCCAAGACACATGAATTATTTCCAAAATAATCAATATAATAATCATTCAACAGAAACTCTCTATTTATACTACTCCTGAGTGTCCTTGAGGCTCAAGTAATAGAGTCCTAGTCTATGATTCCCTCCATCCCGAAATCAGAGAGCAATTTGATCAGGCACGGGATTTTAGAAAATGAAAGTTGTATTGAGATTTATTTAGAATGAAGAGAAATCAGAAATGATATGAACCACATAATGCTTACCTCTAATGCTCATTTGGTCCTTTGTCAGTAACATATAATGATAAGCCTGATGATTCAATCGCAGGATTGTTGGTGAGTATAAACAATGCCTGGTTGAGCTTACTGAATCATCATCATCATCATCATTACCCCAGTGCCGCAAAGGCTCCCACCTACGGTGGGGTAGGGGGGGTCGGATGTACACAGTCTTACCCCTGAACTAAAGCACAGAGAGACTGTTTCCGGATGACCCATGATGAAAATCGAGTCGGAAATTGTATGAGCTGACTGTTGCTTCATAACAAAGAAGCGCGGGCAGTTTAATGAGCCATTTTGCTTTATTCCATCATATTCACAAACCAGTTTACTGAATGCTTCATCAAAATCTGTAATACTGGAAAACGTGTTCTTTCATACATGAGATAGTTCTTGACTTCTTGTCAAATGTCGTTCAAAGCTAATACCATGAAAAAGGTGATCCTCTTTTAAAGTGCCCTACAATTGAATTGACCTTCAAATGCAGGCATGTCCATATCATACATGTCTTGTTTGTTCGGTTAACCATAGAGACGGTTGAAGAGACATTGCATGTTATTGGTTAACAGAGATTTAACTTGTTCCCGAATATGATAACGTGTCTTACAGATCTTTGAAGATGCCACACAACTTGGGAAGGATTGATATCATAGCAAGTTGCGCCGAAGATACTGTTTGTTCCCATTAAGATTTTATCACTTTGTTCTTGCTCACCTTTTCAGTCAAATGGTCATACAAGCCCGGTATTAAAACCAGATCTCTAACGAGATTGCTGATGACAACTGATTGGTGCTTCCAATAAGTTCATTCAAACTGATGAAGACATATGAATTATATGGTTGGATGTGGAGGGTTCTCTCTGTCAGCGAGTCTTCACGCTAATGACCAAGATGAGAAACCAAGCTAGTTGGCGGTGTAAGTTAGTTCAGAAATTCGCCATAAGTGTGTCGGAACGGAACTTCTATAAAGGCACTACTCATCAGCCCGAGATATTACAAGATATTACTAGCTTGCAGAAATTTTCCTAGAAATGTGTCTTGCATAACATGAAAAGTGACCAAAAAATGAAGATCATGCCTTAAATTATACAATAGCCCAATTTATACACATTAATCTTAGTTACGTTTGCTAATAATATTCATAACAGGGATCACCCAATTATGGTTAGGGACTTAGGGTTGACTATCTAACACAAGTATTCTGTAAAATCAATGATACCAACCACTTTAACTCATTTTTTCTCAGGAGCAGAGTTGTGGACAAAAATGAATTACTTACACATGGAGGCAGTCTGTAGGTATAGATGAAAGCCCATCATTCATAATAACGCGGAGGCTCTGTAATGGAAACCATCTCTATCAATTCTAGCATAGCATGCACATTAGTAGAAAATACTTAAAACCTCATTGAGCAAACAGAATGATAAAAAGAGATAACGGAAAGGATGGTGATAAAAATATATAATGTGTTGTGTCATATAATTATCTGAAATATTTAAGTATTCAACAGTTATCAAGGAGAAGTCGTACATATCCAAATAGTTAATATTTCACTTTAAAAAGGAAACCATTATCCGTCATTATTATTTTGATAAACATATCTTGTTCATGAATACATGCTATTTCATCCAATGACTTCATGAGGGTAATAGACATTACTCATCATCAACAACAACAACAACATTACCCCAGACCCTAATGCCGCAAAGGCTCCCACCTATAGTGGGGTAGGGGGGTCAGATGTACGCAGCCTTACCCATGTACTAAAGCACAGAAAGGCTGTTTCCGGATGACCCATGATGAAATCGCATCAAAAATTGCATATAGTGACTGCTGCTTCATAATAAAGAAGCCCAGACAGTTTAGTGAGTCATTTGGCTTTATTCTATCATATTCCCAAGCCAAAAAATAGTGAGTCTTTGGCTGCATTGGAAATGATGAAAAATAGACATTACTCATGATGAAATTAAAATAAGTACTCCTTAGTGGTATGACCGTATGATGCTACATACTACCTCCGTCACATGAGGAATTGACATTGTTATTAAGAAAAGTAGAACTATGTGGTTGGTACTGAGTTTGTAAAGTATGAATGAAGTAACAATGAATGAATGTCACACAAATATTACTCCCTCCGTCCCCTTTTAAATGTCCCGGAAGAGGGCGACATGAGTTTTAAGAAAAGTGGGTTTGTGTGGTTGATATTAATTGATAAAGTAAGAATAAAGTAAGAATGATTTTGAGCCACACAAACTTTACCAAATAAGGTATGGGACAATTAAATAGGGACATCCCAATATGGTAAAACGGGACATTTAAAAGGGGACGGACCGATGGAGGGAGTACCAAATATGGTATGAGACAAACTTAGTAGGTCATACGAGAAAGAAAATATGGGACAAAGATAGTGGGAGGGAGGGAGTAGTAGTTGTATCATGATTTGGAACTCCATTATCAATTCATTGCATATATTTCTCCGTGTCAGGTTCTGACATTGAACAAACACTTAAGCACACATGATAATGATTTATATTGCCTAAAAACATTAACTTTGTCCATCCAAAACATTCAAAATTATCCATATCTTAAACAAGATAGTAGATGCAAGGATGTACACTATTTAGAATTATTAAAGATAAACTTTTTGTCTTTCATATAAAATTTTACATTCTCACCTGGAATCCAAGAGAAACGAGATCCTTTTCAGGGGCATGTGCTACAGACCTGAAAATGAAGTCAACAGAAAATAGTAACGAAACCAGGAGGATTTGCATCCATCAAAGTACACATCAATCAAAGCAGATCAAGATCAGCAAAGAAACAATTTACAAACACATGGAACACCTTAGCATGTCGAGAATATTTGGCCAGCTATAATGTAGCTTTTCACCATACCTCTGGGAAAAAAAACAAGATGTAGTGTACATACATGTGAGTTTTTTAACCATATAAAGAACCCTAGAACATTACATGTGGAAATTTGCACTACTTCCCAGTTATCTTTAGTACATTACATTACCTCCAACACATGAAGAAGAATTTTCAGTAATGCAACACGAATATCAATGCTTTGTGTTGAAGAATAAAGGGTTGTTAACGGAGATATGATAGAGCATTCGAGTGATCTCATCTCTATATTCTCAGGACGGACCTGAGGTATAATCAGATATAGCAGACAGTTTTATTCATCCACAAGAATAACAAATTAACAACAGCAGCAGCAGCAATAACAATGGTGATGACGATAATGATGATCATGAACATAATAATAGTAAAAACAACAACAATCATAATAATGCAATGAGAATAGTGATAATGATGAAAAATGATGGTTATGATGATGATATTACTAAGATTGATGTTAATATTAATAGTATGACGCTTTTTAATGGGAAGAAGAATATCATCTCACATTGCTGGCGAGGAATTTAGAGGAACCATGTTCCTGGAATATAGAAGATCCTAAAACAGCACAAACTGATTGATCCATTGCATTCAGAGCCATTAATCTAACATTCTGGTTTGAACTACTTGTGAGCTGCAAAATATTTGGTTATCAAGATAATGAAACAGTTCATAAGTAACATCGAGTTGCATATCTATAAAAAAGAACCACCTCAGAAAAGTGGCCAATGACATCATCCCACAATGGCCTCACCCCTGTCATACAAAGTATAAATTAACAATAAAACACTGTGGGCATCAATTGGGGAATAAGAGAACCTTGTACTGCTGCACTGCCTGAAGCAACACAAGTTTTACATACAGTCCTAATGTATTCAAAATTGTAAGTAATTACATCCAGGATCCAGCTAACTCCACAGTGGAAAAGCAAACTCTAGCATCTATCTGACACCCACTGCAAATTTATATTTAGATCACTTTAAGAGTATTCTTACAGGCCTATATCTCAGCTTTTTCAGTATTCCTCATCAAGCTCGTTCATTTCAATAGTTCGTTAACTTTAGACATCATGACACTTGAAATTTGATTCTTAATCAAGAGGTTGATAATGAATAATGCAAAGAATAGTGTAAACTAAATGACATTTACAAACAAAAAACTTTTGTAACAGGCACCGTTCCTAATCTTTATGTTTATCGCCACAGAAGGTTCAAAAGTCAATGTGCTGTGATATTTATACTTAATTCCTTTATAAAATGAAAAGCATAATCATGAAGTGGGATCTTGGTTCACCCTTCATATTCACACCAATGCACTCCTTGACATGCATCCAAAAGAAAAGTGAACAGAAAAAGTAAAGAAAAATAGTTCTATTTAGAGTCAATTCCCTAAATAGGACTAAAAAGTGGAAAAATTGCACAAATAGGACTACATTTTTTAAATTCCCTTAATAGGACTATTTATGTCTGTTTGGACAAATATACCCTTGTAACTTGTGAAATGTTTTAATTAATAATAAAATCATAAAAATATTAATAAAAATCGAAAAAAATACTAAAAATCGTAAAAAAAAAATAATAGAAAATTAATAAAAATATTTTTTTAAAAAAATAAAAAATATTTTAAAAAAAAAAATAAAAAAAATATAAAAAAGTCATAAAATTAAAAAAAAACACATTACCACCCCTGCCACCCCCAACACCACCATCTCCCATCACCGGACAAAAATATGCCAACATTTTAAATAATGCCATAATGATGGCATAATCAATGAAAATGTTGGCATATTGAAGAGTAATTATGCCATCTTTTTGGCATTTTCAGAAAAATATGGCATTTTTTTACCAAAAGTGGAAGAAATTTCACCAATCGGAGGTGGTGGTGCTGGGAGGCGGCGGGAGGCGGTGAGAAAGGTATCCATAATTTTTTTCATTTTTTATGGGTTTTTACTATTTTTTATTATTTTTTTAAAAAAATTAAAAAAATAAAAAATTAAATTTTTTATTTTATAAATGTTTTATAATTTTTTTTAATTTTTTTACGTTTTTTAAAATTTTTTTACGTTTTTTGTGATTTTATTATGAATTAAAGCATTTCATTATGAATTAATACTCTTAGGGGTATTTAGGGTAGAAAATCAATGTTTAGTCCTATTTAGGGAATTTTAAAAATAGTAGTCCTATTTGTGCTTTTTAGGAACTTTTTAGTCCTATTTAGGACAATTTCCGTTCTATTTATCAACATATGTAGAGAAGAAAAAATACGCAACCAATTATAATTCAGAATAACAAACTAAATCTAGATATAAAAGAATTGTCAGGAAAGAAACAAAAATGCTTGAAAACTGCTTAAAACATACTGTGAAGATTGTTGACTAGGATTGAAAGCATTCTTTCAACTGAAAAGCTAATGCTTCCAACCTTTTGACTTGATGACTGTGCAAAACCACTGACTGTTGCAGACATAAATTGATGTGACAACTGACGTAGCGCAGAAAGAAGCGATTTGACTGCAGAAATATGCATCAAAGCTGAGCTTTCAAAAAGCTGTAAAGATCAACAAAATAAAAATTTAACTATGGTATAAAGATTAAAGTTTGCGACAAAGGAAGAAGTTAAATGCAGAGAAAACAAAAGAGAACTCAAATTACCTGAGAGTTTAAAGAAGATAGAACATGAAAATCACTGTACTGGCCAGATGAATCCCTTGTTAGTTTTGGAACACCAGTAGAGACCTCCTGTATTATCAATAGCAGAGTGATGAAGTTTTGTCAATCTTTTGAATTCAAAAGGAAGCACAGCAAATTTTGAATATGAGAAGAGTAGACCAGTGCACGAAGGCATCCCTGCAAGGCGAGAGTCCGAGAAGGATCCCACCACAAGGGTGTATAAGGGGCAAGCCTTCCCCTGTCGAATTTTGACAAGAGGCCGCTCCCATTCCTTCCAAGACTTGAACCTGTGACCTCTCGGTCACACAGAAAATTACAAATATATTGTGACATAAATGTATCACATTGCAATACTGCACTTAGAGATATTAACCGGAATTACTTTCCTTCTAAAATGAACCTTAATCCACTTCCCTGTGATGAAATGAACTAATGAACAGCAGTTAATCAACTAGCACCACATATAAACAAGCCAGACCAGAATACAACTCCGCATAAGATTACAATGTGATTAATTATCCCATCAATTGAGCTTCACTAGAGATATTTTAGTTCCTACTCCTTCTATGGTATTCAGAATTACCTGGGTTGTTGCATGCGGAGAATTAATAGCTTTGTCAAGAGCAGCTAGTGTTTCCAGTACCTGAGAAGTTGCAAAAAGTGTGTAGGTAGTGTTGGCACCTAAACACTAGCATAAACTAGAGCACAAACACAAGCAAAACATATTTCATACATTCAACACACTTAGCAGTGCTATAGCATATATTGTGTTTAGGTACTGTTGGTATGAGTTTTCTACTCCTTAAAACAGTCATCATCATCATCATTACCCCAGTGCCGCAAAGGCTCCCACACCTTCGGTGGGGTAAGGGGGGTCGGATGTACGCAGTCTTACCCATGTACTAAAGCACAGAGAGACTGTTTCCAAATGACCCATAGTGAAAATCGCGCCGAAAATTGCATGGACTGACTGCTGCTTCATAACAAAGAAGCGCAGACAGTTTAGTAAGCCATTTTGTTTTATTCCATCATATTCTCAAGCCAAAAATAGTGAGTCTTTGCCTCCATTGCAAATGATGGAAATTACTCCTTAAAACAGTATATTAAATTAAATAAACTCTTTGTGAACTGTTCTCAACATAATTAGAAAATAATTAGAAGGGAATGATTGGTTCGAGTCTTTCAGGGAAGCCCAAATTTTGGGCTTCTTCCAAGAAACACTTGTACACTTTCTTAAAACCATATACCATACACTCAGCACGATTAGCAGCGGTGTATAGCATATGTAGCACTCAGGTTGTGTTTGGTACAAGTTTTCTACTCCTTAGAACAGTATTGTAAATGAAACGAACTCTTCGTAGTTGTTCTCAACATATCTGGTGAAGAATTACTCCCTACGTCCCGAAAAGGTTCGCCAAAATTACTTTTACCCTTCTAGAACCATATAAAAGCTAATAAAAGTACTTTTTTAAAAAGGCCATGTTTGGTAAATGGCGTTTCAGCCAAAAATTAGCGGGTTTGACCAAAACTGGCGTTTTTAATCAGTCAAAACGCTGAAATTAGGTGTTTGGCAATTGGCGGGTTAGTATAGCGTTTTGGTCCAAAACGCCAAAAAAAGAAAAACGCTACAGAGAGGAGCGTTTATGGTTAGCGGATCTAAACAAATATTTAATCGTCAAGTTTACCATTTCGTATTCTTTCTTTGTTTTTGGTTTTACCGCATATGTCAAATTTTCCTTCCTTTAATATCCATGATTGCCGAGTGTATAACTGTGTATGTATTTGTAGGTGGTGTACAATTAAATTTTTTTGTTATCTTCTGTAGGATTGTGCCGACTGTACTTTCTCCCTGCAGAACATTTTGAGAACATTGTTGTGTTTCATGGTTTTCTTAAATGTGCTTCGTGTCCTTATGAGAGGATTAAAGTGGCCACTTGTGTCAGTACTATGGCCAAATGCTTATCACCATGCATATATCTTAGCTACATCTTTTTTTGTATCCCACTTGTTTTCGTGCCATACATATATGACCGCTTAAAATGTATCAATGCCCTTTTTTGTCTTTTTGTCTATTAACCGCTAAAAACGAACAGCTAAGTTACCAAACATCTTTTTGTAACCCGCCAAACTAATCCGCTGGTCAAATCTGCTGACTCAAACCGTTGTTCAGAATCCGTTGACTCAATCCGCTAACCGCTATCCGTTGATTGCCAAACAAGCCCAAAGTCATGTCGAGCAAATATAGCTTTTTGAAAAAATGGCCTAATTATTACTCCTAGAGTTTGAATAGACACAAATATGACTAAGTTTTGGGTGGACCAAAAAAGTGACTCATCCGTTACTTTCTTTTATGCACTTCACTTTAATTTTCATTCTTTACCAACTGTTCGTACATAACAGCGCTAGACTCACGTTTCTTCCCCAGATGTACTTTGCAAATAATTGAAGGAGAAGATCCAGATTAGAGTATCGGACCTCTTCTTCGCCGCGCTCTACTGCCACCGTCGCCCCGCCACAATTCATCTTCTTCTCATTTCTTCTTGGCCGCTTCAATCACCACCGTTCTCCTTACCCGACCGCCGGCAACTGAAATCCGGCTACTAGCTTCTCCGCAGTCTGCATCTGAAATCAATAGCGTCTCCGTCTTGTTCTTCTCCTTTAATTTCTTCTGAAGGAGCGTTCACCTAATTGATGGATCGTAGACGAGATTTTCAAATCTAGATCCGGTGGCTAGGGTTAGGCTGGAGCGGTGGTAGGGCTGGTAGGGACGTGGCGGGGCTAGCAAGGTATGGTGGGGTCTGGTATTGGCTGGTCATTGGTCGCCGCCGGCCAGGGGCTGGCGAGGTTGTTGACATAGCGGCATGGCCATCTCCGGTTGCAGATCCGAGCTTGTCCTAGGGGTGGGGAGAGGATTGAACTGGTTGTGGCTGATGGGGGCTGGGTTGGGGTAAGGTGTTGGCGGTCATTGGTGTTTGGCGGACGTCACTGAATTAGTGACTGGAGTTGGGTGAGAGTAACTGAATTAGTTACCGGAGTTGGGTAGAAGTCACTGACTAGTGATCGGAGTCGGGTGAAAGTCACTGATTAGTGACTTGAAGTCACTGGAATAGTGACCGATGAAAGTGCTGGCAGCGGAGGGTGCCAGCGGCGGCGGTGGGTCTGCGGTAGTGTTGGTTGTTGTGATGGCTACTGAACATGCACTATTTTAAAAGGAATAAAATACGGAGTATATAGAAGGAATAGCACAATTTTAAATGCAATATTAAATACTCCGTACAAGAATAAATAACTCTTGGTCACTTTTCTTGAAAATTTCAAAACATGTCATATTTGTGTCTTTTGTATTTATTATAGTAATATTAATAAAAAAAAGCCTAGCTTTTTATTATTGGGTTCAGCTAATCTTTTGGTCCAAAGGTTCCCATTTAATAAATTAAAAAGTGACCGCAAAATTCAGAGATGTCCACTCTTTGTTTTTTAAATTTGAGGGACCCACTATTGGACTTAAATGTCTTTAGGGGAAAATGCAGTGATACATCAGAAGAAAAGAATCAAAAATGGAAAGAACTGAAGTAAAGTTCAGTTTCCACTTTCAAGCTTGAAGTATGTTGTTGTGTTAATAATTTTTCAACCCGACTGCACTTCCGAATATGGCCACATGGGCCTATTATATGGACTTTTATGGCATCCCATCTCTTAGATTATTAAATTAATTACTGTTTATATTGGGTTAGGTCTAGCCCCTTCCCCCCCCCCCCCCAAACATTTTCTGTTCTTTTGTTTTAATCTTTGTATCTCGGAAGGGTATACCATTTCTGGAGAGATTTTGGCCTAGTCCCCCTCTCCTCTTGTATCTTATTATGTACTCCCTCTGTCCCGAAAACAACTTCCCGGTTGGACTTTCACACACTTTTAGGAAATAAATTTGACTTTACTGAAGAATGCACTGTTTTGCACTGTTTAAACACTGTTTGGCACTGTTTATCACTTTTTTGATGTAGATAATTTGCCAAATAAGGAAAGTATTGAAGTGTGAAGTTAATTTTGGGACATCCGTTTAAGGAAAGTGGGAAGTTGTTTTCGGGACGGAGGGAGTATTAATAAAACATCACAAATGTTCCCCGGCATTTGCCCCACTGATGGGTGATTTGCCTTCCGGGTTAAAAGAAACTGCCGTAGCATTAAAATCAGCTCCCGCGAGGCTGTAAAAAAGCTCTCAGCCTCTCATGCAAATGTGAAATCAGCTTGGACACACTGACTAAGTGACACAGGCACACAGCTGACTTACACCCAACGCACATGTTAGCCTATTTAAGGATGATTGTAATCAAGGTTTTGAAAGGCGAAATCGAGCCCCGAGGCGTTCGGCAATAGCCTCACGAGGCGTAAGCCTCGAGGCGTAACGAGGCGTAAGCCTCAAATTTAATTGTCTAAAAGCGTACAACATATCAGATAGTATAGATAATCCATAAGAATAATGCAACTAAACAAAATTACGAGTAAAAAGAACATAACAATAAAATATTCAAGTCAAAATAACATAAAAATGAAATATAAAAAACACTAAACTTCCAAGACAAAAAAATTAATGATTGATAATCAACTTTAATAAATAAATAAAAATAAAACCAAACTGTAATGAACTTAACTATAATATTTCAAATTAAAATGTAAATCTTAAGTCAAGTAAACTAGTAAAGTGCGCAGTATTAAACAAACAAATAAATTATTAAGTTAAATGATAGTTTTATATGATAACTTTACAGATTAAACAAAAGGCTTAATAATTACATTAGTAACGTTAAATGACAAACACATAAAGATCAGAAAGGTTGGACGAAATTTAATACTATTTAATAACTTTAAATAGCTCAAAATAAAACCTTTAAATAACTAAAAAGTTAAATAAAAAAGTTAAATAATAAACACTATAAGAAATTATAGAAGTTGGGCGGTGGGATATTTTATTATTGCTTGGACGAACCGGCGAAGCAACTCCTGAAGTCTCTGTACCGAGCTTCAGCAGCTCTTCTTCAAGTCGTTGTTTCTAGTTTTTTAATATCTAGTCTCGTAGAAGAGTGAAAGACCATCGATTGGAATTTGGAAGACCTAAGGCTGTGGGTAAGCAATAAAATATCCAGGTATTTTATATTTTAGGAGAGAAAATTTGAGGCCCCCGATATATTTTTTAAAAAAAGCCCAACCTTGCGTAAAATTAGAGGCGAACGCCTCGTGTACGCCTTGCGCCCACAGTCCGCATCAACGCCTCAGCAAATTTAAGGCGTAAGCCTTGTTAGCAGAAGGTGAAGCTTAAGCCTTCCAGGCTATTACCGACCGCCTTTGCGCCTTTGCGCCTCAAGTGCGTAAAGGCTAAACGCCTTTTAAAACCATGATTGTAATATGTTGTAGCTAAGTCCTTTAATATGTTGTAGCTAAGTTCTTTGTAGTTGTTCATATCCATAGTGCCTCTTTCTCTTTCATTTGCTTACTCCCTTTTGCCTGACTGGTAAGAGGTGTTATTTCCAACGCAATCACACATTGGACCTTTAAAACATCAAAGTTCAGCAAGCTATGTATATATTAGCTTTCTATTCTTTTGTGAGACTCAAAGTCCATAATCATCACTTAAGAGAGAAAATATAAAATTTGAAGAGTTCAAGAGTTAACTGACGTACCAAAATCCATGAAGGGCCTAAAACATTATGCAGCCGATGAGCTATGTTAAAAAGTGTCCTTAATGCCTGAACATGACAACTAGGATTAGTACAACAGTTGTTACAAACATTGACTACTACAGGATTCTCCTAAATAATTATTACAGTGTCGAATTGTCATTATCAATAATGTGCAAGTAATGAGGCCATTCCAAGTACCTGAACATTTTTAGGTGTCAGAACAATACTCTCTCTCTGTTCCAAAAATGCTTCTGACCGTTTAGACCCAGGTGATTGTGCAATACTAAGAAAAGATTAAACTAAAAGCATGTTATACCTATGTCCTCAAGTTTGCGTGAGGCAGCAAAAACAAACTATGGACCTCAAATGCAAATATTTTCAGCTTAGCACAAAGGGAAGTAAATATACCAATACAAATACCCTCCACCATAAAGAGTTTTTCCCCTACGGTTAGACATTGATTACACAAGTCACAACAGATCAACCTCATTCTGCTGGAATTTTACCCATTGTTTTTTCCAAGTAGGTGCAATGCAAAGAAACAAGTAAACAACCATTCTCAAATGTAACACCACATTATATTAAAGCAAGTAAAAAGATCATTGGCTCAGCAAAATTGTCCAATTTTCAAATTATTCACAAAATAGTTTTTAAGAAACTTGCAATGCACAAGGCTTACCGATGAAACACTACTTTAAAAAATTAATACAATGGAATAAAAGTTCATAAATTCAAGAGGTATTTTTTCCACTTGTATTTTATTATACTTGTATATTCACAAAATAAAAATGGCTATTTTTGCCGTTTCTGTACGTGTCCAAACTTCTTTAATCATATATGTGAACTAGGGAATAAAATCCACAAATATAACATACTATAATATTCTCTTACTATATTCATAATGATCAGAATCAAAATCACCAATGTGGTTATCATGGAACAGTGATAAACCTAAATGTATCGATTGCAGTATCTATGAGACTAGAACATAACAAAATTTTGATGTGGAGCACTTTAGAGCATGACAAATGGACCAAAATGAGAACCATAAAATATACTCCCAAATAAATACAAGACCAACACTACATAACCCATGAAGCATTGGTGCATAAGAGTGTTTTTAGTTTACTATCAGAATCATCAATACTTTTACCCCATAGAACCACAAAACACGCAAAGAGAAAGGATAGGAAAATAGCACTACAAGTTTGCTTCATTAGTCAGTATGTACCTTCTCCTTTCAACTTCATTTGGTATGCTAATTGTAAATTTGCAAAGAGATGCAAGAAAAGAATTCAAAGGCTCAACTGCACGGAGAACACCACAGGCCTGAGCAGCAAAGACAACATTTTTAACAGTAAGGAAAGTAGCTCAGTTCGAAAAGGCAAGTGCCCTTAACACTTTAACAGTAAATGAAAAAGGAGGGATGCTCTTGAACAACGATCATAACAAACATGCAGCTCTAGATGGAAAAAGTAAAACAATATTTACCAAACACAGTCATTATAAAATAAGGTTAATGTCAAGTAAGGAAAGTTACCTGTGTAAATGCTTGATAACCCTTCAATATTTCTAATACAATAGCTTCCCCTTGAGACCTTTAAAAGAACAAATGTAGACTACTCAGAATACTCACGAACAGATTTAATGCATGTGACAAGTGTGAATTTGTGTGTATACATACTTTGTCAAGATGAAAGACAAGGCATCAAGAACAGTCAGCCACATTGAATCAACCATAGAAATACAAAGAATTGCTGTCTTTCCTGTGCATTTTGTTGGTGGATCAACCTCCAATCTAGGTGATTCAAGCTGTTAGCTCCAAGGAAAATGAAGACATCATAAGCAGCTGCTCTTCTGATATGCTGTATGAACTATTTATCAAAAATATAGTTAATATATGGTGAAGCTTTAATCATATTTCACCTCACCGACATCTACTGCCTCATCGGTCAAAGTGGCAACAGCAAAAACAATTCCAAGAAGGCCCTCGATTGCTAAAGTTACTGCATGGGCCTCACTAGCAACCAAGACGGCAGTATTGGATGCATCACTATCTAAACTCCACTCAATCCCTGAAGAGAAGAAATAGTCATGGAGTTACACAGCCTAAAATGTTTTAAGTGATACATCTCACGAAGAAACTTCATTTTGTCAGAATTATGTCCAAGTAAACCTTTTTTATATACTGCATTAGATACTAATGCATTTCTCAAACCGTTTCAAGTATTCAGGAAGAAATATTTCAGCATCCAACAGATAAATGGAAATCAATAGGACAATAGTTACCGCCTTGTCAATTGAGTTTCGTTTTGTTTGCAACTTTCAGCCCCAAGTGCAAAACTAGACACGAGGATTTGGTGCTAATTTCAATTAGACACGGGGATTCAAGATAAGTTGAAGTTGTTGAATAACAAAACCATTTCATTTATTGAAATGAATTTCAATATACAACTTGATATTTTCAAAAGGTTTACTATATATGGTTATAGAAGAATAATAGACTTAAGCACAATGAGAATGAGAAACCACAATGTTTCTAAAGTGTGTAAATATATTTTTGTGCTTCTATAATAAGAAAGGCAACACAGTGCACATTGGCATCCCCACAAGGAGAGGGTCCGGGGAGTTGATAGAGACTTTATTAATCTAAAGAGAGGAGATAAATACTCTAATAAAGTGTATTCTAGAAGGAAGAAGGGTTGTTATTAGTTTAGTCTGTTATGAGCTAATAACTACCGGGTTAGCCTTCCTTACTACTCCCTCCGTCCCGAATTATAAGATACTTTTCGGTTTACGATGTTTGACCGACGATAAAGCAAACAGATCCATGTCTGCACTCAAATTATTTTTAGAAAAAAAAATTACATATTCAGAAACTACATTAAACCCGCTACAAAACCTGCAAAAAATAATTCAAACTTTATAAAATTTTGATGTATAAAGTAAGAGATTAAGAGTGATTTGTGTTGACCGAGTGAATAGTAAAGATATCTTATAAAATGGGACAGAGGGAGTATAAAATATAAATAGAATACTGTTAGAAGTGGTAGGGAGGCTGTTTTAGACATTAGTCTGTACTGGGAAGATCAGAGCATTGGCTCTATCTTTTGGGGAGCTTCGGCTCATTGTTGCCTAAGTGAATAAAGTTGCCTTGAGTTCTTGATTTATTTCTTAGGTCTGTTAGAGTAATTCCTGCAGGATCTAACATTGGTATCAGAGACGGTTGATCATTGTGAATGATTTGGTGTTAGATCCTGCAGGAATTACTCTAACAGATCTAAGAAATGAATCAAGAACTCAAGGCAACTTTATTCACTTAGGCAACAATGAGCCGAAGCCCCCCAAAAGATAGAGCCAATGCTCTGATCTTCCCAGTACAGACTAATGTCTAAAACAGCCTCCCTACCACTTCTAACAGTATTCTATTTATAGTAAGGAAGGCTAACCCGGTAGTTATTAGCTCATAACAGACTAAACTAATAACAACCCTACTTCCTTCTAGAATACACTTTATTAGAGTATTTATCTCCTCTCTTCAGATTAATAAAGTCTCTATCAATTCTCCCCTCCTGAAAATCCAACTTGCCCTCAAATTGGACGGTTGGAAATTGTTGTCTGATGCTATGTTCTGTCTCCCAGTATTATTCAAACTCCGGAAGATCCTTCATATGTACCCAGATTTCCCTCTCCCCTGCTGAATTCATTCAGATATTCTTCACTTCCTCAGGCCGCACCAGTACTTCACACTCTTCAATTAAACAATTAGGGAGGTCTTGGCAGGAGTTGGCAGGTTTCAATTCCTTCTTCTGCTTCCTCTTCATCTTGGCGCTTCTACCTTCCCAATATCTCACTGGTTTCAGAGCAAAGAGCTTTGCTACTTGAATCTTCATTTTGTTCCCACTTCTTTTCAAAAGAATTGACCTCAGTTTGTTCATGACCTGGCACCCGTTCAAAAGCATATGATTTGAGATCCCCGTTATAGTAACATTTCAACATCTTCCCTGGAATCAAATCATACTCATAGAGAGCATCAACAAATTGCTTACAAAGATCTTCATCACAATTCTGCAATCGCTCACATAATGCAAACATACTCTGATGAGTTTCAGCTCTAAATGGATCATAGAGCAGACCAGTTTTAACCTTTTCATGAACACACATACAAACTTCCACTGTTTGATCAATCAATCTCTTCAAAAATTCCCTAACTAACTGTTGAAAAACCTCATTGATAACTTCATCCAGCCACTTTCCATCACTTTTGACACCACTAGCAAATTATGGCCTTAATGAATAATCCATGAGATGCTTTCAGTTGGAAACATCAACTACAACAGCTTGATTCGTAAAGTCCAGGTCCACACGGATTGTATTCAACTGGTAGTCAAGAGTCAACTTATCAGCCCATCTCAGTCCATAATGTGAGGAGTCCCAACTTGCATAAAGCATCAAACTGCAGCCCTTAGCTTCTATCCCAGATTTGTCATTGGAGTGAGTGAAGATTGATCCTACAAATGCACAAATCTGTAGATCATTCTTTCCCAATGGCCCTGCTAAGATACTCTGGACTATTATACCCTTTTTACCCACAATAACTTGATCCTGACTGTCAGAGTCAGCAACATACTTCTCCATAGACACATCATTCACCATCTCTTTTTGAATATTTTTCATAGACGTAACCCCTTCCAATCTAGGAATACCAAACATGTTTAATCCTTCCCACATAATGTTTAATGAATGACAATACACCATTTCATTCTTGAAGACATTTGGCCAGTTCATCTGCTGTACAATATGAGAAGAAATATCACCTGCCTGAAGAAGCTTGAACCTATTGATTTCAAGGTCTGACTGGTCCCGATCGTTCTTGGAAACAATCTTACATCTGGGGAATCCAACAACCGCTCCATCTTCAGGTTGAAGATTAACTGATGGTTTATCATTGTGTTCCTCTTCTCCATAGGTGTGCTGCTGAATAGCCAACTCCTGCTGCGACTCTGGAAACTCAGATAGATATTTCAAACTAGGGTTTTCTACTCGAATTGAAGCCAGAGGACCGGAAGAAGTATCTTGTGACTGCGACGGACCTTTGTTTTTCAAATTCATGCAGCGACGCACAGTCCTCGACCTTCCTCGCCGAAGGCTTCCCCTTCTCCAGGTTTGAAGGCTTTTCCTTCTCCACTTTTTTGCCCTTTTCTTTCTCCACTTTTTCGCGTTTCTCTTTCTCCACTTTTTTGCGTTTCTCTTTCTCCACTTTTTCACGCTTCTCTTTCTCCACTTTCTCGCCCTCAACTTTTTCTGTGAGCTTCCCCAAGGTTCCGCGCGAATCCTTTTGAGAGTGCGAAACAGTTCGCGACTCTTTCTGCGCTTCCTTCTGCGATTTGGTGAGCGACGAACTCTGATGGTCAGATAGACGATGATGACTGGTGTTGCTCGATCGATCTCCAAGTTCCTTGCGAAGCTTTTGCTCTTGATGCGAAGGTAAATACTTGGAATTAACTTCTGATCCCTTTATTCTAGCGGAATCTCTTGTGTGTCTATGATGCAAAGCCTTTTCCGCGATCTTTTCCATTTTTCCGCTCTCCACCTTTTCCGCGGTCTTTTCCATTTTTCCGCGAGAAGCCTTTAGCGAGTGCGAAACAGAAGAAACAGTTTGCGATTTCTTCTGCGGTTCCTTCGATCTATGCAAAGAGTGCGACCTTCTCTTCGATCGATCTGGATCTCTCGCATCCAATCTGGCGAGAACTACTGTCAACCTCTTCTTCAACTCATCTAGTCTCGATTCCATCTTTTCTCGCGTCCAAATGATAGAGACTTTATTAATCTGAAGAGAGGAGATAAATACTCTAATAAAGTGTATTCTAGAAGGAAGTAGGGTTGTTATTAGTTTAGTCTGTTATGGGCTAATAACTACCGGGTTAGCCTTCCTTACTATAAATAGAATACTGTTAGAAGTGGTAGGGAGGCTGTTTTAGGCATTAGTCTGTACTGGGAAGATCAGAGCATTGGCTCTATCTTTTGGGGGGCTTCGGCTCATTGTTGCCTAAGTGAATAAAGTTGCCTTGAGTTCTTGATTCGTTTCTTAGATCTGTTCTGTTAGAGTAATTCCTGCAAGATCTAACAGGAGTCCCACCACAAGGGTGTGTAGGAGTCAAGCCTTCCCTTGTCAATTTTTTAACAAATGACCTCTTGATCACACAGCAACACCTTAACAGTTGCAGAGGAACCCCTTCATATTTTTGTACTATATTTTTATAAATTCAATAATTAGTCACTCTCCCTTGGACAAGAAAACCAGAAATATGGTCCAAGTTTGAAAGAAAATTGAGGAATGAAACTTGATAATGAACACTGAAATTCTGAACTAAACATTAACTGGAAAATTGGATCAAGTGTGACCACTTGAACAGAAGTTCACTCGAACTTAAAATTAACTAGAACAGCTAGAATGTTGAACACTAAAGCGTAACATATCAAACTCCAATACAAAGATATGGTGTTGGAAACCAGAAAGATAAGGTTGTTGAAGGCACCTTATAGTGCAGTGGAAATATTCCAAAAGAAGCACAATAGACCACTATTGATGGTGTGGGTTACATATTTAAGGGCTCTCTCGCCTTCATTACATTTCTTCCTTGCTAATCACTTAGCACACGCGACACTACTTTGTGGTTGTGAACAGGCAACTTTAGCTACTAGAGAGAAGGCATGTGTGGTGTAGACCATAAATCTGAGTGTAACACTTCAGCAACCACTTATGTCTATACTCTATAGCTGATCAGTGTTGCAAACAGACCACCTTCACAGTACAAATTCACATGCGACCAATAACCAACTTACCCAGAGGAAGAGGGGCCAATTCAAGTGCCACATATCTGGAGGGCTCTTGTTTCTGCAAATGTGCCTTGACGCCAATTTGGATATGAACAGCCTCACGAGTAGTTTTAGGGATAGAGAAGAGACATGAAGATAAGTCAAAGTAGAAACTGTGCCTTTTTTAATAGCAATGTGAATGTGAATTGGGATGGCATCAGCAGGTATATCCACAGGGGCCTCGATAGGGTTGCGCGAGAACGACGGCAGTAGATATGGGACGGACTCATGATGCGCATGTTGTAGATATAGGATGAAGTTATTCAACAGCTGTGGATGCAAGTAGTTGTTACAGCCTTGCATTTTATTATTTTACTGCTCCCACCCAGTCCTCAATAAAGTTTTTATCTTGACAACATTGGTTTCAGGTATTGATAAAGATGTGAAGAATGGGATTAATGCACGTAAGAAAAATAAAATAAAATGGGAACAACAGGAATATCCAAATATTTGGTGAACATAACTGCCTAAGACTGAAGAGACTTTTCTATTGGACCTCCAACAAACCAACAATTAGTATATGGCACAAAATATTGGCTCTTAAAAAAGATATGATAAAGAAGATGATTGTGGTCGAGATGCATATGTTAAGATAAGATGAATGTGTGATGAGACTATTAAAGATCGCCATGAGACTGAGTTTAGCAGTTATCAAAAATAGGCTAAAGGAGAATAACATTATTGGCTCAGGAACATAAGGCAATTGCCGTTGAGGGGTAAATGCACATCAAAACCTGTATGCAAAATGGAACATGCAATGCTATTGAAGAGGAGTCATAAACCGAAAATGATATGGATTGAGGGTGTAAAACTAAGACATTAGCGCATTAGCGTTCCATGAACGGTGATGGATGAAATAAAAGACTATAAAGTGAAGATATTTGTAGATGACCTGACGAGGTTATCTATAGATTCATGTAACCGAACCCAATAATTTGGGATTAAGGCTTAATTGTTGCTGCTGGTGTCAAAATAAAAATAGAAAACCTAATAGCATTAGCTGCAATCTATAGCAAACCAAATATAACAAAATAAACGAGTGAAGTAACTAGACTATGTTACCCTTTATCAAATATTGAAACAAGAATCTAATACCTTTAGCTTTACTCGTAAACATTCCAGCAACAGCTGCAAGGCTCTCCTCGCATGTGTCTTGAAACTGCAATACTGATGCATACTTAGTTGAACAGTATTATGAACATGGGTTTATCCAATGACAATTGAAGACAGACTTAAGTAGAAATCAAGCAGTGAAGATTGTCCTAGGATAGACTTGCCATAAACAAATATTATACGGAGTATGTCTCTATGTGGCACTGTGCTACGTACTAGCAGGATACACTTTCATGGTTTGAAAACAATGTCATGCCCCAAAACTATGTAGAGTTTCTTTTATGAACTCCAAAACAAATGAAAAAATCATGGTTTCTTAAAAACAAAAGTAATTTGTCTCTCTCCATAATATGCCCTCCAACAGAAAGAAGTAAATAACATACCATCAAAGTAATTTCTTTTAGTGCCCATTAAATATGCCACAAATCACAAGATGGAATAAAAGGAATAATGGTGCCTATTTCTTTAGTGTCAATGCCAAAGTGAAGGGCAACGTAGCATGTCCAAGCGTTGCTATTCGCATGCTCATGTGCCAAAAGTGTACTAGCCTTAGGTAAAGAAGGAAACACAGACATAACTAAAACAATGGAAAACAAAAGGAAAAATAATGAAACTACTTCAGTATTTGATATGATACAAACTAGCTTATGGCAGATAAAATGTCAAAAGTGAATCTCATTATCATATACCTGAATGCTTGAAACAATCCTAGCAAGTGACTTCACCATACTCTCAACCACATTTGTGTTCTTTGGATTCCTATAAAAACAAACCATAGGTTAATCAATAACTTGTTGGCACAAAGAGCAAGACTAACAAAAAATAAATTAGCAAGTTCACTCAACAAAGAAAATTGAGCTGCAGGAGTATAACTTAACATATACTTATGGGTTGAGGGTTCTGTTTATTGGAAGTTGGAAGAAATGTGTTTTAAATGAAAGACAGACAGATCTGTTTTTTTCAAACAACTTACATGGCAAATATACATGCATTCAGTACAATAGCAACTAAGAACAACAAACATTGAAATCAATCCCTGGTGTGCAATTCCACTTCAAGCCATCAACATGTAACTAACTTGTGAGTTGTAACAAACTACTAGCATATTACAACCTTGCAACTAACTTTCAACACTCCTCCCTCAAAAAGCAGCATGTGTTTCTTGAGCTCCAAATTTGATGCAAGACTTGCAACTGTACCTGATCCTAGGCTCCCCTAAAGATTTGGTGAAGATAGTTGGCAGTTGGTCATTTAATTTTAGGCCAACAAATGAGCAACAACTTCTATTGAAACAACCTTTTCTCAAAACGACAATTTACTTCAATGTCTCTCGTACTCCCATGAAAGGCTAAATTGGATGCTATATGTAACTTTGTTTGATTGTAACTGATGGAGCTCCATATTTCCCAACATTTGAAACCCAATAGCTTATGTGCTCCAAATCAGATTCTATTTTAATAGATTAATATGAAGATATTTATAGAAGCGTAGAGAGAGAAGGGCGATGGGGAAACCCTAGCCATCTCCTTCTCTTTATCTCTTCTTCCAATCTTTTCCATTGTTCCAATTATGAAAAAAAATCGTTTTACTTGGTCCTTTCAATTCATTTTGTATGTTTCTTTCCTAGCTTTGTCTACAGATTTCTTATTCGGTGGTGGATCCCCGCGCCCCCGTTTGCAAGGTGTATATGCTCCACCATCATAGGCCAGGTGTTTTAGTATGCTAATAAGAGGTTTGTGCTAACGTCTTCTTCAACTTTGAACTTGATTTTCTTCCTCATTAATATTGAGGCCGCTCGCCCCCTACTGAACCACCGGCATGCCATGAAGATAGGATCACATGGATTGCTTTCATTCTTGTAGTGGGTGAAACCAGAACAAATTCTGCACTTCGCTCCTTACCGGTGGCTGGCGAAACAGGAAAGTTTCCTTGTTGCTTTTCGATTGATGGTGAAGCCGAGATTCGTGTTTTCTTTTCCTCACCAGTGGCTGGTAAAATCAGTTCTTTTGGTAATTATCTTTGTCTTTGCATGAGCAATCAATCTATAAATAGAGTCTACACTCTACATCTTTGCGGGATTAGCGATTCGGCATTTTCCATTTGGATCATCTATTTCTAGGTCTCATCTCATTGTAGCCTTGAACTATATGATTGTAATAGTTCTTGTTATCTTTATCAATAATAACCAAGTTATTTCCTTTCAGAAAAAAATATTTATAGGAGTAGCATATTATCTTATACTAGTATGTTTTACTCCTTCCGTCCCTTGAAACTTTGCCATTTTTGAATTTTTTGGTCACCCAAATTCAACTTTGACCAATTATATATTTTTATAGGAAGTTATTTACAATATAACATTATAACAACCATGGATAGAAAATTCCTTGAGAGAGCAATTTAGCCACTTGTGAGATGGTATCCAAGTAATCAGAGACAACCACACGTGTATAGCCTTTAGAGTGTTGCATTTTAATACTCCGCAGTTTGTTAGCCATCAATAAGAAAACTAGTGCTAAACTGCTAATGACTTAATTTCTTGGAAGAACCTTTTAGGGTGCATTATGGAGAGTGGCTGAAGTAGTCTACCACTCCCCGGAAAGTTGTCTGGGTGAACAGAAATTTAAACGATTGGATAAACCAACCTGTGAAAGCTTTGTTCTAGTCGCTCCATCTCGGTTCATCCCAAAATGAGCTTTTTGAAACTATTAGCTTTGTAAATGAAACATCATGATCCATCAATTATAAATGATTAACTGGTAATGAACTTAAAACTTAGATTGAGACATCCTACACAGTTACTAGATGACCTAAAGCACCAAAAGGGTCCTGAAAGCCAGGGAAGTGACTAACTATAACTCAATATAGAGTATGACCAAATTAAACTGGAGTTTTTAGTAAACATCCAAAAGCAGAAACTGGTTTGAAGTTTTTGGCTTAAGCCAAATTAGCTACATGACCAAATTGCACAAGTTTTATAATCAAAATCATCAACGAAATATGACAAAATGGCAACACCAAGGCAGATAAACATACATGTCAAAATTCTGAAAAAGAACTCGTAAAGTGCGTGCCTCCATGCAGAAACCCTGCAAGTTCCATAGTTACTAATAATTAGCTATAGGTGTGTACATGTGCAACAGTGCAAGTCATTTTAGAAACTGACTGAATAATCAGCTCTGCAACAGATTCTTGGATTTACCCTCAGAATTTCAAGAACAAGGATACGATGCCATAATGGTAAGTCGAGAGAGAGAGCCCGCACTAGCATGCTGAGAAAAACCTGCACCGATGCGGTATTTTTCCAGGTTAGCATATGGAGCTCATAAATACAAGAAACACTCAGACACAACTATATGATTCTCACAAATTCAACAGCTTAAAATGAAGTGAGTATTAGAAATTAAGTATGATGGGGATTAGAGGTAGTGGTGAATGTTCCTTTCCATGTTCCACAATCCACACTATAAGTCTATAACCCTAACAAAATATATATTACGTGCTTAGGTATGGTTGCATGTTATTTCCAATATGTAGGACTTCATTGCGTATATGACATTTGTGTCAATAATGTGACCATTAAGTTGATTGCCACCGATTTGCCCTCTGCATCTATCATTCAGGATGGTTTCTTGCTTATATCTCTTTAAGTCTTTTCTACAACTCTCTAACCAATTTATATGTCAGATGTTGTCCAGATTAGTAAAAAATCATTTGGATGTCAGCATTATTTATTCCTATGCTGCACAGTTTTAGTAAACCAAATCATGGAACTTTGACAAACAAAAAAACTAAAAACAAAAAAACTAAAAACAAAAAAAAAAACAGATTTATATTTTAACACGAGTAAGATCATACCTCAGATTCAGTGACTAACAATGAACTATAGAGCCTGATTATATGAGCTACTGATCGCAAGACCAACCGACGGAAGTATGGTTCTCCAGTTTCTCCTTCAAACTGAATGAGCATGGGAAATAATGATGAAAGCAAACAAAACTATTAGATCCATCGAGTTTTAAAAACTCATCATGCAGAAATTTGATTTTCTGAGATCGTGTCTGTAATAGATTAACAGAAGCATCACCTCGGAATCGGTGCGAAGTGATGTCATAAGGAGTGAACATATCTGGTGTCGGAGAACCTAAAAGTTTTCGGGCCATTGTTTAGGCAATGAAATGTGAAAAATGCAAATGAAGGCAATATATAAAGATAATGTAGTAAAACAAGAACCTCCTCGTATGGAATCAAGGTTCGGAATAACACCACATAATTGGACAGGATAAACCTAAACAACCATCAAGAAGCATTTAGAAAATAAACAAACTGATCGAAAACATGGATTCCAGATAATACGTTTGATCACATGTGTTTCCTTAAATTTCCCAGCTGAAAAAGGTTCTTGATGCTACAGAATACAAACCTCAAAACCCCAGAACACTCTTTCAAACTATTCCAAAAAAGTTATTTCCAAGCAGCTTTTAGTATGTATTTTTAAAGACGCCAAGCAAACTTGATATGGACTCAATATAGCAATAAAATGTAGTCTTCTTACTCAAGTATGTCAAGTACAAACGTTCTTTGAAGGGAAATGACTCTTAACCAGATAGCCTGAACAGATAAGATGAGGAGATGATCCAGTGAGCCCACCAAATGGCTGAATATTACAAATGATTATCATACAAAATTGGAAGATCTCAAAGACTGTCAAAATCGAAGAACCAAATTCAAAATCTGACAGTGAAAAGAAATAAGAATTCAATGGGACACATACAGAACCACATGCTGCAAGAGATGCCAGATCCTCAAGCAATCTAAGGCCAAGCTTTCCGGGTTTAGTTAACGTATTCCTCATTAATGAAGTTCCAGACATAAACTCTTGCTCCAATGACCTATTCAAGTGATGGTCAGTTCTGATTTCTGCACTATAATGCATTCACCATGTGCGTTGACTTCTAAGCACTAAAATGCACTCCAATTGCAAGTTTAAAATTTTTAATATAATGAAATATGGAAAATCCCCCAAATAGTAATAAAAACAATATGAAATTCCAAAATATGAGTACTATGGTTTCCCCCTAAATAGGAGTGAAGTATTGCCATCCTCTGTCATATTTTGGCATTACCAAGCATTACTATCGCAGTATTAATGCCAGAGTTGGCAGTATTTTACAAATATGGCAGTAATTACTCTTATTTTTTGGGGGAAACATAGTACTGCTACTCTGGAATTTCACATTATTTTTACTCCTATTAAGATTGATGTTTGAATGAAATATATGTACTTTAAAAAAATCCCAAATTTCCAATGAATCATATTTGCCGGTTGAGAACTTGAGATACAATGAGTCAGAGACTATGAGTTTAGTCACACAGTTTTTAACGTGGATGGAGAATATATAAAGAACATTAAACATATATACTTTTCCACAGGGAGTACTCGAAATGATTTTTTTTATATTCTCAATGATATACTTATTTATTTAGTTTGTATCCCTGCTTTCCTAGCTAATCTATATTCATTGTAACATTTCTAGACTTCCAAGTAAAACCAGGAATACAAAATAAATAATCAAATCGGCACATGGAAGAAACAAAATATCAACCTCCAAATGTGTATGTCTTACGTACTCTAGGTGAGTTATATTGTGGGTAAAGTCACTAGTAACCGAATTACTTCGAGAAGTATGGACTCCAGAAGTGAATTTCCCAGAGGGAAGCGACTCGGCAGAAACCACCCTATCAAATATCAGTGCTACTGCCTGTCTAAATGTTGCTGCAGCTGTACTGAAATATTTTTCAAAAAATAGGCAATAAGAGTCAGATGTTTTTACAGTTATAAGAAATGACATAAAAAATACTTAGATGTTTTTACTTGGACAGTTAAAAGAAATGACATAAAAAACACTTATATGTTCTAGACCAGATCAGACCAGACCAGACTTGGATAGTTATAAAAATACAAAGAGACCAGACCAGACAATTCAGACCAGAACAGACGCAGATCAGACCAGACCAGCAAATTACATCCTTAAACAAGTGGCGCATGCTATTATGTTCTGGTGTAATAATTAGAACTCACTTGCGCACACTATCAGAAGATCTATTGCTCTCAAGAAGTCGGAGACAAATTCCAAGAGCTTGGGAGGTATTCTCCTGAATGAAATATAAAGAGCAGTTACGCAATAGAACTTCAAAAGCCAGAGCAAACTAGAGATTCGACCTCCTCAATATCAGATAATGAGAACCTTCATTACCTTCCCAGTTCCCACAGCCACTCCATCTCATAAATGCAATTAATTTATTGTGTGTATCCATAGATAGATGAGATTGTAAGTGTGTAATATGTATACATGAAAATGATCATGAAACCTCTTATTGGTCCCATATAAAATTGAATAATTGAGAAGAGGAGCATGTAGAAATTGTGAGAAATCAAATTTAGAGAATTACCATAGACGGTTCTTGACAATTTCACAATTTAGAGAAACATCTTTTCAAATTTACAAAGTGGTAGAGCCTGAATTGTATTCCCTTTTTTAAAAAATCCAAATTCATAGAAGAATACCTCCTTCACATTAATGTGGACTCCGGCGAACATAGCCAGATAATTCTTTTTTGTGCATCAGAAAGACGGAAAGAAATCACCGGACATGCTAAATGACGAGCAACCATGGCAACTTTTAATACTCTAGAAGAGTATAGTTAAACTAAATGAGGGACACGATGAATAATATTGAAGGAAAGTAGAGATTCTAGTTTACATAAAACTAGGTCTACCATTCAAGCAATCCAGATATAAAGATACTACTCTGTCGTCCAATGACCCAATGCATTTACCCATCACACAATGCCAACTCTTGATTGCATTTCAAAGGAGTATAGTTACAAAAGGTTAAGCATAGAATGAATAAAACAGAAAACATATAAGAGCTTATATACACAGTGTTGGGATACTAGATGTGACCCAGATACACAAGCCCGAACCCAAGATGTGGCCCATTATGGTTTCCAATATCCAAGTAGCTCATTATAAATAGATTTTGTCTTGGTTTTAGGGGTCCCTCTTTCTGGCGGACTCAACGAACGCACTGCTCAATCTCCCCTCTATTGGCGTACATGCCACCTCTTCCTCACGCAAGGAAATTAATGGCTTCTAGTTGCCTTCTACAAGGCTTAGTACATGCAACATACACACAAATAGATGTTGTCTTGGTTTTATGGATTACTCTTACTATACTTTGGGTTGGGTTCTTCTCCTGCTTGTTCTTTTTTATTTACTTTATTTTTTTTCCCTCATTTTCTTTGTACTTTCAGTGTTTCTTTTCATTAATAAAATTTTCCCTTCTCTAAAAAAAATCAGGAAATGGCCCGGGGTTTTCTTGTTTGGTACTGCTACAAAGCATTGGATATCTGGGTCTACATTTCTATTATTTGTTCTTTAAATATGCTCTAAGCATTCATAAATGGAGAATGAGGTCGACTCATGGATCGATCAAAAGCACAAATAGATATATAGATATGGGTGTGCGCATGTACATTGCTCAAGTGCCAAACTGCACCGTGCCGATAGTTTAATTGCTTCAGCAATGTGCTAACAAGTGGAACGTACAAGTTGTACATTAATATTGTACAGTACAACCAATTAAAGCTTGGTCGGCACTAGGGCCATTTCCTATATGGATTTCCATACGTACAGTTTATAGTTTCTTTCTTGAATTAATATTGCATTTCTATAACAATATATTAAGCATGCTAATGACACATATTTATTATAGCTTTGACTCCCTCCACTTTCCCTTTGTGGAAGTTTATCATTCTTGCTCTACTTTCCATTTTAACAATGAACATCATATCAAATGCCATGAATATCCTTATTTTTCATTTTCTCTTTCCTACTTTTCCAACTTTTTCATTTTTTTACGCCATTCACTACCCTACTACATTACTCTTAATTCCCATGAACAACCTATTGGACCAAGTAAAAGTGGACGGAGGGGGTTATAATGTTATACAAAACCAACGATATATCTTGCTTAGCGAAAAAACTATAAATAATGATTACCAACGATACAAAACCAATGATAATGATTACCTCATTATCAGGTTGTAAGCACGATTGGAATATTATAAGGATAGTTTGCAGCGTCTTAAGTTGAAGACTCTCATCTGCCATTTCACTATGCTGTTAAAACAAAATAGTTAATAAAAATGGAAAATGTAAGATTCAAGAAAAAATAGAAGCACCGGTAAGAAGAATAACATGAGGTGAGAAATAGCAAATAATGTGTTTGACTATACAGGAAAGCACTACTGCACTGTAAATGCATTGATTTTTTACTTGAACTAGGTTAACCAATAATCTTGAACTTAATATCAGGAACCAAACGTAACACTGTTTATGCCATGTTTGAGTTAAAAGTTACGTTTGATTTTCCCTCCTAGTTGACCAATAATCTTGAACTTAATATTTTAAATTCATCAGAAGTGCTTTGGATCATTTCCCCACTAGCCTTGAGACCATTGGAACTTCTACAGAACCCTGAGCTTAATCATTAAATTGAGGCTGCCCAAGGTGATTGTGACTGCTATACAGAGGCTATGGCAGCTGTCTTGCCACATCCATAGCTACACTATAAAAAAAATTCAAGCTTTAAAGAAATATTATCTCCCTCAAATTGAAGCATCATATGCTCCAATCATGTTATGTCTTCTCACCCTCAATCCCCTTAATACAAGTTCCTCGACTTTTACCTTGAAAATAGTTAGACTTGAAATTGTAAATTGAAGTGTTTAACTTGACTCGGATCATGAACTTGAGTTTCAACTAAAAAGCTAGAACTTTTATTTACCTAAATTAAACTTCATATGTGAAACATATTGAAGCTGGAACTTAGAGTTTGGCATGAACTTAACATGAACTTGAAACTAACTCAAACATGGCATAAACATGAACTAGGTTGAACTTGAACTATGATTTGAAAATTTGAACTTCAAACTATACACTTCAAATATGGATTAAATTGAAACCGAATTAAGATTTACTTAGCTTTGACTTTAAACACGAGACCTTTCAACCATGGTGACGTAGATAAGTCATAAGTGTGTCCATATGCCTGAGTATAATAAGGGAACAAATGTGTTTTTTTTTCTTTTGTTGTGTCCAATGATTGCTTAACAGAGTCTGGCATTGTTCACCCACTAATTTCCATGGTTATAAAATTTCTTGCCTTGCCCCTGATTTCGTCCCCGTCTAGACACTAAGCTCACCTTGACTGCCTGGGTTTTCCCCAATTCGGACTGCTTAATTTTACTTAGATTCCACCTACACCTGGACAGTTCGTTCCCATAAAATAAGCCCCAGGCTATGGCAGATGCAAAGCGCTGTTTACAACATTGCTGGTCTCCAGAAAGGCCCTCTGATACAATGTAGAGAGCTGAAAGGATATTGTACTAATTTTCACATAGGAAAAGGTTTACAGTCCACCGAAGAACATATAGACAGCTTGGTGGCTCTTGGAGATCCCTTGAACTGACTTAGTAATTGAATTAAGGCTGCCGGAGGAGGGTGTGACTGCTATATGGAGGTTATAGCAGTTTCATGGAGGCTATGACAGCGACCCAAAACAAGCATAGTAACTCTACAACATAGAATACTTTAACAAGAGCAGAACAGTAAACTCTAGTTTAATGCCAAGTTTACTCTACAGTACCAATCTCTCTAATTCCCCCCTCTCACAACCCTGTACCTACGAAGCACAAAATCATCCAGCAGCTTACGTTGCCCTGTTTCGGAAACTCGGGTGAGTGTCAGAAACTTGAAAACGTCAACTTCTTGTTTTGGGGCCACTTCCATAATTAAAAAGAATGGGATCCCCGTTTCCCTAAATAATTAACATTCAAGAAACTTTGGATTTCTGTTTTTGTTTCTTTTTATGGGATTCTTAGATGGAAAATAGTGCCTTTTAACAAAAATAGTGAACCTTTATGTCATTTCTTCCTAGCAACATTGTGATATTTCATAATGCAATGTATTGCTAAAATGTATTGCACAATGTAGTCAAAAGTGACGCCTGCACACTTAAGCGCATCAGGCGAGGCTCAGATGACTCTTAGCACATGTAAGCTGCGAGACACAGCTACCTTACTTAGGCACACCTATTGCACATGAAGCGCAGAAGCAATGATCATTTCATCATTTTCATTTACCCCAGTGCCGCAAAGGCTCCCACCTATGGTGGGGTAAGAGGAAGCGCAGAAGCGATGATGCAAAAAAATTGCTTTAATCGCCTGAGGTGGGAAAGGTTCGTCAGCCTATTTTTATGTTTGAACCTATATTAAGTAATAAGCACATATTTTTAATAAAGTAAAGCCTATCAAAATAAAAGGTCAAAACAACTTAAACCTACGTTAATCCTTATAAGTCATTGTAAGTGTTCTGTAGCAACTTCAACTCTCCTGTGCTCGACTATATCACGACTTCAACTCTCTTGTGCTCTACTACTCAGTACTCATGCTACCCCTCAGCTTTGAAATCAACACTGAATGATCAACCACAGAAGCTAGCAGCACTCAACGATCAACCACAGACTCCTCTCTTAATGACAAATAGTCCATGAGAGTTTTAACAAGAGGAATTGGGCTAGAATCTAAATATGTTTTATTTTTAGGTTTATTATTTAAGTTATGAACTTTGAATTCAGTGTTTTGTATTTGTGGACCAAGACTTTATTTTGGTGAACTGTGACTTTGTTATTTAAGGACACGGCTTTTTAATGCACTTGGTTCAATATGGGTTTATATACATCATGTTTGAAAATTGTAGAATATTACATGTAGTACTTTCTAAACAATGCGTCTGACATGAGGCAAGCGAGCGCTTCTTTTTGTGCCGTGCGCCTCAAGTGCTGGAGTGCCCTAGCGCTTTGAGTGCGCCTCACGACTTTGACTATTTTGGTATTGCATTTTATACGGAGTATTTGATTATGTACTAATATGTACTAAGTTCTAAGATTGAACATGTAGATAAAGTTATGTGTTCTTATAGTTGCTCCATTCTCCTAAATGCTCACAAACTTCCTGCATTTGCAACCACTTGGTTCTAACATGAGATATGGCCATCTGTGTACATTTACTTGATCAGAAATAAACATAAACAACCATCTGCGGTTCTGCGGTGCACCTTAGCATAGCTAGACTTTGAAAATCCAAATACAGATTTTAAGGCAACAATTTCCATAAGTTGTTTAATTGTACACTTTCGGGAAGTTATATGACCGTCCTGGCAACCCCTTCATTTTCTTTTCTTTCTTGAGAAGTTTAATTCATTAAAGAAGACCATAATATCTAACTAGATGCAGAAAGCACTGTAAGTAAGGTAAGAACAGTGAAGTGTGAAATCTCAATTGGCAAAGACACTCCTCTATTGAATTGATCATGAATCGGAAATCTCAATCAGGTATTCATACTCTGAACTTTACAACTGTGTCTATCAAATGCCAAAAACAGCACCATGTATGAATCACTTTGTCAGAAGGGACACTAAAATTGCTAGGAAATATCACTTTTGCATCACTCCTTAACTGGATCATGCAGAGCATGACAAACGTATAATCAGACTTTAGTTAAGGCACCCTTACATCTTTAAGGGTGTTAAGAATCTCCTCTAAAGCTGATGGTGCAACTGCATCATGGGATATGAGCTTTTGCAGACAAGACAGTCCAATCACACTCAACTTTACCGTCCTAACTTCACAGGCCATCAGAAAGATATTCAGTATATCTTCATTGTGCGCAATTTCACTAGGGCTGGACAATAATCTGAGCTGCAAGTTTAGTACCTTACTAGTTTAAAATCACATCTTGCAAAAAAAAATACTTCTTTACATTGACTAAACAAAATGGACTTGAAAAAAAAAAAGTTTAAGATCAATTTTACCAGTGTATAAAATTCAACATATACTTCATTAATTATAAATCTGCAGTTACTGGACAGTTCGTTTGAGGAAATGCTTAAGGATGTGAGCTTAAAGTGCAGAGATAATGGTAAGAAAAAATAAAACCTTCAAGATGGCATGTTCCGCGGCGTCCTTAACGTTGGGATGACGGCGGCGAGCCTCCGCGGAGAGAGCTCTAAGATCTGACTCCAAAACGGCCATTAACGCCATCTCTCTCCGATCAAATACAGATAGATTCAGTAATTACCTTGGCTTTACTTTTGAATGTCAAAAGAGATTACGATTGTGTAAACGTGGTTTGGTTAATTACTCGGACATCGAAAAAGATCTGTCATCGCGGGAGTTCAGTGACCGCGTTAAGCGTGTAGCGCACGCGGGTAGAGGGACTGTGAGAGGAGGTCTATGCAGGTGGAATCGGCACTACTAAAACGTTTTGGAGATCTCTCATAGCAATGCTAAAACGTTAACAGTGCATACGTGGCATAGAAAATAATCAATTAAAAAACAATAAGTACAATATCTCTCTCCTTGTTTGAATGATCTTACATCATTTTGGTAAGTTTTTCTTGACAATGTCAAACACAATGTCTAGATGTAGAAATTGTGACTGATATTGTAGACAAAAACTTACCATAAACACATAAGACCAGGGAAAGAAGGAGAGAGATATTGTATTTATTGTTTTTTAATTGGTTATTTCTCATGCCACGTATGCACCGTTAACGTTTTAGCATTGGAGATGCTCTAAGGATGGCAATGGGGGGACCGTGGGGAACCGCCCCGCGGGGGAAGGATGGGGCGGGGCTTGGGGCGGGGTGAGGATGGGTGAGATATTTTTACGCCGTTAAAATATGGGGCGGGGAACGGGTATTGCTACACCCGCCCCATCCCCGCCCCGCCCCCGTTATAAATATACACTCACATGTATAAATAATGTAAACACATATTAACAAACGTATAACTATACACATATATAAATAATGTACACATATATTAAATTAAATTATATGTAGTGTATAACAAACACATATACATATAGACATACATAATTGTATACGGTTTAATCATGGTTAATGAATTAATACATACTACGTATTATACTAGAATAATAACAAGCTAGTAATGATTAAAAATATTTATCATAAATGTTACATGAGTTTTAAGAGTGAGAAAGAGAGTCAATAAATACACACACATTTATATTTATATGTAATATAATATGCAATTAATTGTATAATAGTTGTTGAAAGTTTTGAAACAACGTACATGATGATAATATATTTATACTTTAGTTATCTTCGATTCACAAAACTTATTCAAAAGGAAGAATTATTAAAATTGGTGATATTAACTTTTAACAAACACAATACTTCAATGTTGCGTGTGTGTATCATGTATTACTGTGCGCACATAAATGTATATAGGTTTAGGATCAAATGAGAACAACGCTTAACGTGAGAACGTGCGAGCACTCATTTACCCCCAAAGTGAAGCAGAATGGGCTCGCACAATGCACTTTTTCGTATCTAGCCTAATATTTACAAAAGTGCCACCACTATTATTGTGCACTAGAATGGCTCTATTGTGTATCACATTAGATTAAATGTGCGTGTTTCCACGTTAAGCATGGTTCTCGTTAGAACCACACTACATATATTTATAATAAGAGATTAAAAGTATATGCAAATACGATAAATTAAATCTATATGGGGGCACCCGTGTGCACCCGTGGGGCACAACGGGGTGGGGCGGGGATGGGGCGGATTTGGGAGTAACGGGGATGGGGCGGGGATGGGGGGAACTTTGTAGACATGGGGCGGGGGATGGGGGAGTGTACCCCCGCCCCAAATCCGCCCCATTGCCATCCCTAGGCACTACGGTGTGATCTTGGTTTCAGCTAAGAGATTCTCTTACTTTAGTTTAACACAATAAAATCATTTTTTTTAGAGGAGTGGACTTAAATTGATAAAACGCCATTCAGATAGTAGATAAAATGATAAAAAGACTATTGACAACCGCCGACTCTCGAACCAAACTCAGAGATTATCAACTCTGAAGAAGCAATATAACTCGTTGATTCATTAATGGCCACAAATGAGCCAAAGATAGTCAACGCAGTCCTTCCATCACCCACATTCAAATTCACAGTCTTACATCAGAATAAAATAAAAACTCAAAAGTAAACAACAAAAACCAGACAATCAAAATAAATAAATAAATAAAAATAAAAGTCATGCTCTGTCTTCCAGCAAAAAGATGCCAAACGCCACCAAACCCTTGCCTTTTATGCACTCCATGGCGACGGCTCAAAAGGAGGTCGGACCAACAGTAGTGCATCTTCTTCCTTATCCAACTCTTTGTTGATCAAATTCTGTGGCATACCTACATTAACAAAAACTTGAACAAAACAGCCCCGATTTCCTTGCTCGTCGATCCGACCCTCCGCCAGCTGCTTCACCGAATAGCCTTGCCTGACAAAGTCATCCCAAACCGTCCACAATCCTGTCGGAGCAAACCAAACTGTGGCTTCACCATGCTCCAAAACAGCCCCTCCTCATGAACCCCTTGTCCCAGATAAATAACGTTTGGCCGGGAAAAACCAGCTCCGTTCCTCGGCGCAAGCCGATAGCGGACGAACATAAGCTAGCGGCAAACCTTGCGGCTAACCCTAGATAGAGAAAGTCTCAGAAGCGCGTTATAAATTTATAAGCCGAGAAGATTATTAATTATGATTTTACACAATTAAATCAAATTGAATATCATGGTTACACATAAATATTAAATTTGATAATAATGTTTCAAATAGATCAAATTAGACATTATGATGAATTTCACATTCGACACCAAAGTTTAAAATAGATCAAATGAGCATGAATTTAAATTTTTCTGATCCTTTTGATGTTAAATCAATTTCATAAATCGATTTTTCCCAAAGTTTCATAAAATCATATGAAATGAAAAGTCCAAAATATATTTTTCTTTATTAGTTGTTCTTAATTAAAATCATATTACATCTTCCAATACCTTGAATTAATTATTATAAAACTAAATATATAAATTAAACTATATACACCAAAAACTGAAAATAAGACTTACGACTTTTATTGAAGAAATAAAAGAATCGTAAATGAGTGTCCAAAGATGACGGATTATAAAAGGTTAGTGGCTAATATGAAATTCACATGTAACAATAGTGTCTAATTTGATCTATCTTTCCAACTATTAATAAAGTTGTTAAAAGGTATACTACAAAGTTGTGTTTAGAATTTGAGTAGAATAAAGTGAACTGATGTGAATCACATGTTTCTTGACAAGAAACAAAACATTTATCTTGGGTCAATTTAAAAGGGGGAAGCAAGACAACTAAAATGAGACAGAGGGAATACTGCCCCCTCTGAGAGTCACGTTTTGTAATGGATGCATTGCGTTAAAATGACTAAAATTGATGAAGTAAGAGTGTTTAGTACAAAGTAATTATTATTTTGGTTGAAATAGTTGATTGTGTGAAATCACTGTAAAGACATTAGCTTGTTCATATTCTACCGACATTTGCTCGCGCAAGGCGCGATAGCTTTTCCCAAATATTAATGTCATTCTCCTTCTTGTAAGAGACTACTATATGTGATATTGTTAGGAAGATTTTTAAAATAATGTATGAAGTTATCCTATACTTTTGAGTTCTAATGAGTTGTTTGGTCAATTATATTCACAACTCACCAACAATTGGGTGGAAATTTTGCCTATATTTTGAAGGATATGTAATTCAATGAAATGGCAATTTTTATATATTATGATATAGTTGTAGTGACAATAAGATTTTATAATTTTTAGTGTAATTTATATATTTTAAAGGATTGGGGCTTAGGAAAAGAATATTACTAAAAATGATTAATAAACAAAAGAGATACCTTTTTACGTTTCAAAAAAAGACTAATAAAAGGCTAAAAAACTAATAACTCTGACTACAATAATTCCACATCAATAGTGTTATAGTAACGCTACATTAACTAATGCACCGGTGACCAACACTCACTATCACCGCCACGCACATCGAGTTTGACAACTCGGGTAGTGATCAATTGACAATCAGTTACATTACCACCGCCGAGCAGTCATAGTTAAATCGCTCAGTGACCTATTCTCAACCACCTTTGCCAATGGACGTCACTGCTCCGCCATCATTGACGCCTCTACCCACCACAACACCATTGACATCTCACTGACGACGGGTTATTGCCTTATAATAATGCCTACTACCCCAACTCTACCCCCTTTCTAGCTCCCCAGTGCACCTCCGATTCCCAGCTCCCCGTCCCCTTCACAGCCCCTTCCCTTGCAATCACTATAACACCCTCGTTGGGGGGGCCTCAGGGATGGGGTGTCATCTTTTTTTTTTTTACTATAACACCCTCGTTTTCTTATCCAAAATACTTACCATAGTATATAAGCCACTTTTTATCCACATTAAAAGATGTGTTATTTTTGTCCAACGTAAAGCTTCTAGTGTTTTTTGTCAATATTTCTTATTTCAAATATCAATTATAACTCTTTCACGATCTAGCATATTCGGTCAATTTCATTGTTACCAAACGAGCTCTTGAGGTTGCGACAACCAAAGAAGCGGAGCAAAGAACAAATTGTAGAGCGTCCGGTCAGTTAAAATCTGAATGAGAAGTATAAACTACCTTCGGTCCGGACACCTCGACCTGGCCCAAACCAGACGTGACAACCCATGCATCTCATCCTATAACTCCCAATAGATAGCACTAAACATTACTTTTGCTCAACATGCCTAATCAGGTTCCAAAAGTAAAATTGTTGATAAAGAAGAATGTCTAGATGGCTTTAAGCAGGTGAATAGACGAAAAAACAAACACATGAGCCCAGTCCAGTTCTCTATCACACAAGAGTAAGCTCCATTATTTACGAGGTGGGATGGACATAAGACCCCGTGGTCACACGAAGTCACTCATGTCACCTACATAATGTCTCAGATTGCTACCTATATCCGGTTGATGCGAGGTTCGACTCTCCACATAAACTGACTGTAGCACTCAAGCGTTACAAGTCATCACACCTGGAGGTCAAAGTCAACCAACCATATATGCAGAAGGTGATCAAATTTCACAATAAATTCAACAAGTCTCTCTCAACTTCGTTGGGGATCCCTGCCAAAAAAAACAAATGTTAAAGTTTATATACTCGTTTGGCTTTTTTCCATTACTTTCTCTTGTAACTTCAAACTTTATTTAATAAAATAGGGAAGTGTTCTCCAACCCCCCCCCCCCCCCCCACCTCGTGTGGTTTGATTCAGATTAAAAAACATTCTATTTACACATTGTACATTTAGTGACATGTTATTGTAACCGGACCTTTTAGGGTCAAGTTTCTTAGAACTTCAGGTAGAACTCCTGATGAAGTTTCAAAAGTTAAGCCACATTATTCTCATTATTGTAAAGAGCATCACAATAAAATAGCGGAAACAATGTCAAAAACTAAAAAACTAATAATGTTATAGACATTGTCAAAATGTTATAGCCGTAGTAAACATTACTAAAGAGTTGTAAAAAAACATGAGTTATCGCAAGCAGTGTCAGTGTATTGTAAACATTGTCAAAATGTTGATTCTAAAGTGTCATTTTATAAAAATGTCACAATGAAAAAATAATGTTGATGCTGTGAAAATGATGACTAAAGAATATTGCTAAGATCATCACATTTTACATTATATTATATTGCTACAAAATAATATTATTGGAGATGATTATATCATTATTATTGAAAGTAAAAAATTATAATATTTGTTATAAAGTTATAAACATTGTCACGTTTTTATTAGCTAGTTCCTGTTTGGAAGGGTGTAATTTCCTAACTGCCGCAGTTTATACTCCTGCAAATAGTTTAGTCCATTGATGACATTGTGATATTGTGACATTGTAATATGATATACTACATCCATCACATTTAAAAGGGAGTAATAAAGATATGCCATATTTTTTGTTGATGATATTGTAATATTGTAAATTTGTAATGTGACAATGTGACATTGTTATAAGTGACATTGTTACAATGTTTTTGTTGATGACATTGTCATGTGACAATGTGTAATAATGATGTAGTAAAAAAGTGACATTATTTTCATTGATGATATTGTAATATTGTAACATTGTCTAATAACATTGTAACATTGTTTTCGGGACGATTTTGTGATTCGTGAATTGTCATGAGACAATATAACATTGTGTTGACAGCATGAAGTTGTAAAAAGTGACAATGTTTTTTTGGAAGAGTGACAATGTTTGGTTGATAACATTATAATATTATTATTAGAGAATATTACCCGAAATAGGACTAAAAATGTTTGAAAATTCCAAAATAGGACTGTCATGTTTTTATTCACAAAATAGGACTAATTACTGTCATGTTTTGGCAGTCCCGTTCTTCAAACATGATAGTATTTTCCAACTTGAAGTAATTACTCCTATTTTGAGAATAAAAAATATGACAGTCCTATTTTGGAATTTCCAAACTGCTTTAGTCCTATTTCAGGAACTTTTTCATTATTATGATACTCCGTATTAAGATTACGACATTGTTAAAATAAATGGAGTAATTCGTAAGCATTATCAATTGTTAGTGTTAACATGATATCAATGTTGCCAAGAACAGTGGCAGATCTCTCATTTAAACTTTGGGTGTTCATTTGTTCTAAAATTAAAATTTGAAAAGACAATAACTAATTTAAACTAAATATATACATGCATACTAACACTTTTTCAAAAATCTAGGTGTTCATGTGAACACTTTTGCAGTAAACTAGCTCCGCCACTGGCCCAAGAACGTCAAATATTATTAAAAGCAACAACAATATCGTAGTGGTGGACTCGGGCCGGGTGGCCCAACCCGGAACCGGCCCGGGACTGGCACTGTTCCGGCCCGGCCTGGTGGCCCAACTAGTGATCGGTACGGGTAGGCCCGAACCGAGGGATTTCCGGTCCGAGCTCGGGTCACCCAAAACATGAACCGGCCCGGCCCGGCCGGGCTCGGTTCCGGGCTTATTTATTTATTTTAATTTTTTTTTAAATCCCCGGGTTGGGCTGGGTATTTTGGGCCATTTGGGGTGGTTTGGGGGGTTGGGGGTTAGGGGGGGTCGGGGGTAATTAGAAAAGGAAAAAAAATGTATGAGGCCCGAGGCCCGGCCCGGCCCGGACCCGGTGGCTACCCCGCCCGGTCCCGGGCCTAACATTTCCTAACCGGCGGCCCGGTCGGGCCTAGGCCCGCCCGTGCCCGAACCGGCCCTACTACAATATGGTCAAAAGTGTATGATAATGGCATAATGCTGTCAAATAAAATTTCACAAAACCATACGTTTTTACTTTTCAAACGAAATTGCAGTGTCATTAAAGCCACCACTTGAGTACTTGACAATATGCTAGAAGATAGAGTTGATTCAATGTTTAAAAAAAACAAATAAGGAAATAAGAAAGAAAGATTAAACTAAACAAACAATGAAGAAAATTGAAAATTGACTTGCACGGTATCAGCAGTTCAGCACATCTTCTTCCTTTAGGTGCTCACTGCTCAGTGCAGTTGTCATCTCTAACATATCAGCTTTTACTAATTTCACAGCCTTAATTCTTCGAATTGCAGCTCCAGTGAACCACTTCTTCTTTGCCACCGGAAGCGTCCAACCTAACAATTAGGCTCATGCACACCACTCACACCAAGGAGGAGGAAGAAGACTTATCTGGTTCCTGCTCTCAGTTTTTATGCCACAACAGGTAGTGGCCACCTCCAGCTCGCTGAAGAAGACGAATATTGTCGCCAACGATCATCCAAAGTAACAGCGAATTGAGAGTTCAATTGAGAAGCGTTGCAAGATCCAAGGCCATTCGTCTCTGCCGTCAGCTTCCTCCACTCTAGTGAAGCTTTGAAGCAAACAATCGTGGATGTTTGGATCTACTTTTTAAAACTGATTCTGCTCTTTCAAGACGTGTTTAGGTGAATGTGTTTTTGGGTGCTCTAGAATGCTCTCAGAAGCTGTTTTTTAGAGACTGAGAGAGACTATTTGTTTCTAGAAAACTAATTCTGATGCTACCTATGCTTTTAAAGTATATATAAAATATATAAACTTCGTATAAGGCGTATAAGACTATTTGTACTCATATATGGAACCATTCCCCTTCTCATATAACAACACAAAGAAATGTAAAAAATATACAATGTGGAGGATGAGAATTCATTCAATCCTCTAAAACAATAGAGTAATTGACTCCTCAAACAACTATTGCAGAAAATACCCAGACAAGAAGACCAAAAATCCAAAGAACAAACCACCATAGATAAGGAAAGCTTTCTGGTCAGATGTGAGAGTGTTACCACCAAAACCAAACTGTTGATTCTGGGCAAAACCAGCAACCTCCACGCTCTTGCTCTGGAAGAAGCTCTTGGCAGCCCCACAAGTAGGGCACCTCCAATCCTCCGGCATCCTATCGAAGGGCAGCCCGGGAGGAATGGGATATGAAGGGTCCCCAATTGCCTCATTGTAATTGTACCCACACGACCTACACTCATGTATCCCAGTGTTTAGGACAGCAAACTTCTCCTCCAATCTCCTTGCATCAAAGCTTTCACTCTCTGTGGGCAAATTATCCTCATCAGGAGCTTCTGAAGGCAGAATCGGTTCCTGCCAGGTGGGTTTGTCTTCTTGGGAGACATCTATGGATCTTGATAGAGGTAGCTGTGGACGGCTGTGAATGGAGATGGGTTTTTGGAGGAGATGGGAAAGTGGGTAAGAAATGTGATGGGGTTTCGGTATCAGAGGAGTGGGAGGGTTGGGTTGGGGGACATGGGATGAGAAGGAGACTCTTGAAGTTGCAGATGAAGAAGCCATCGCCATAGCTTATTTTGTTCTTCACGCCAATCTGACTCTTATGAGAAAGAGGCTGTATTGGGTTCTGAAGACTGGGTGAGTGGTGGAGATATGTGGATCAATGGTGGATAAGGTTTGAATAATTGTACAAGTAAATAAAATGAACTCGCTCCTCTCAATTCATTTTTTGACAATTACGGAGTATCATTTAAATAATTGATTTTGGGGGAAAATAATTAAAATGTTCAAACTTTTGAGGAGTATAAGATAAACACCCCAAATTTGTACATATAATTTAAATACAAAAATTTTTATGTTAAAAATTGTGTTAGCACCATTGTCATGAAATTTAAAATTATATATGCAAATTTGAGATGTTTATCTCTCACTCCTTCAAGGATTGTAATATTTAGAGCCCGTTTGGTAGCACGAAAATCGGCTGTTTTGGCTGATTCTGCTGAAATTTATGAAGTTTTGGCTGAAGTGGCTGCATTGGCTGATTCTTCTGATTTAAGAAAAAATTATTTTTAAAATATATTTTATTAATAAAATAAAGAAAAAATTATATGTAGAAATAGCTAAAATGATAACTTGAGCCAATATAGTCTGAAAAGTAAGTTCAACTTTACTTTTTCTGCTTATTACACAATTCAGCACGCGAAAGTTAAAATTATGATTAAAAAGTTGACTGATAAGCCGAAAAATAGTACTGACAAACGGCCTCTTAATTATTTTTCCCTCCATTTTGCTCAACTCTCAACGTGCTCCATTTCCCAATTATTATGATTTTCTAATATACCCACCAAATAGCCCGACTCCCTTTATAACGTTACCTATATCTGCTCATTTTCACGTATTGTGACACACCATTCTCTTTAAAGTTGTATTTGTTTCTTTTGTTTAATAAAATTTTACAATTTTCTAATATAAACTTCTGTGTCTAATCTCAAATAAAGTACACAGTTTCATTTAAGCCTTTTGTCTCGCGTTGTTTTGAACTCTTGAAAATACATGATTTTTTTTTGCATATAAATACGTGATATTTAAACAACGGGGTGAATCCAAATTGGATGGATATACCAAGTAGGATTGGCCCGGTTCGACACTATTTGGGACCGGACCAGTAATAATTTAGTCTTGAAAACAAAGCAAAAACAAAATAATATAGAAGGGAACCAAGTTTTGACCAGGAACGTAACTGAGACCAAACTACCTAGGTGACCAACCGGAACCAGTGAATATAGCATGGTTGAACATGTGCTACTCTAACCAATGATCGGGACCGGCTGATCCAGGACCAAAACAGGATCGGGCCGAAACTGAGTCCATCCCTAATCACAAGTGACCTCGTTAAGATTTAGGTAGTAGAAATTGAAGCATCATTATAGTTACTTATACAAAGAATGGTCAGATTTTACCCACACAAAAAAATCTAATTACGGTTTAGTTGAAAAAGATAGTACTCCGTAGTAAACATGTAATGATTGGATACCATTTGATAATGTATTTTCGGCTCATGGATTACCTTCCCAAAATTTCTACATGAAAGATGTATCATAATAAAAAGCAAGATTGAAATTACATTTTTATTATATACGTTGAAAAATACGTAGTATTATTTAAGCCTTTTGTCATATAACATTTTCTTATTTTATTAGCAAAATATAGAAAAATATACTTCCTCCGTTCTTTAATTCTTGCAACATTGTGATTTTTGCACTATTCACATACCTTATTTTAACCACGATTTTCTACTAATATACATAATCAAATTATTACATATAAAATGTTATTGAATTCCTATCAATGTGAATTTTCAAAATATCAACTTTTTATAATTTTTACTAATGCATAATTAAATATAATTGCAGTCAAAGTTGTGCGTTGACAAACGTGAAAGTCAAACTGTTGCAAAAATTAAAGAACGGAAGATAGTACTTGTTAACTTGTTATAGGGAGAATTATGTTTGTAAGTTGATGCAGGGCATGAGATGATGGCCATCCATTTCACATATGGAACTAGTTTCTGAGTGATAACAGTGATATAATATACTACCTCCGTCCCAGGGAGAAGTTCCCAATTTCTTTTTTTGGCAGTCCCAACAAAAAGTTCTCATTTCCTTAAATGGAAAGTTATCCTACATAAAAACAGTGCAAAACAGTGCAAAACAGTGCCAAACAGTGTCGAAACAGTGCCAACAGTAAAATTTACCCCTCAGTAACTTTATTTCCTTAATATGTGTGAAAGTCAACCCGGGAACTTCTCCCTGGGACGGAGGGAGTAGTATATAGACTCGACCTCTCGGATCTTACGACTATTGGGCATGGACAGTTACCACACACGCTTATCGATGCCATTTGTATTATTATACAGTTCATATATCATTTGTAACTACTAAATTATACTCTTATGTAGTTGGGACTATCTGGCTCATATTAGCGGCTCAACCCGTTATTTCTCTATTTATACTCCCAAGTGGATGTCTTGTAAATGTAGAACATAAATCCCTACTCATACACTTTTATACTAGTCATCATCTTTTTCTCTACTTCCTAGCTCAATCTATTTAATATTATATGTTTAGATATTCCATGAACCATCAAGCGGTTTGTGCTAACATCAGTAAATTAAAGAGCGTTTTCATGTTGATGAAAAATTGTGTGTCTGGCCTCCTTTATAATTTAACATGTTTTGATCGATTGAGCTTCTGCTTTGGTGTGCTGAGGGAAGTGCCCCTTGATCAATCAATACACCAACCCCTATACCAAGTTAAACTCATTTAGAATACCCCTTTATAAAATAAAATATACGTATTACATCACATAGTAAGAGTTGAGCCTTTGTGAGCTTAATAGGTGAAATAGATACATGAGAAAGACGAATTGTATTGTTTTCTTTCTGGTGGCTGATGAAACCAGAACAAATTTTGCACTTGACCTTTTATTGGCGGTTGGCAAAACCAGAAAGTTTGATAGTTCATTTTCAGTGACTGATCTCACAGCGAAACTAGTTTACATCATTGCATGGTTAGCCGATTACGAGTATCTTTATACTCCCTCCGTCCCAATATAAAAGGCACATTTGCGTTTGGGGAGTTTTTAAGGGTGAACACTGTTTAGACACTGTTTGGCACTGTTTGGACACTGTTTGGCACTGTTTGTCACTGTTTTGCACTATTTTATTTGCCAAAAAGTGAAATGTGCCTTTTATATTGGGACGGACCGAAAAGAAAAGTGTGCCTTTTATATTGGGACGGAGGGAGTAGTTTTTTTTGTTATTCTCATGTAATATTGAACGTTATGATTGTAATGTTTCAATTTTTGATTATTATGTTTTTTGATACTAGCAATAATAATTAAGTTATTTGTTTTGAAAAAATGAATTCGAATCAAATCAATTTAAACCTTATAAAGTTATGGATTTTCATTTAGAATTTAACAAAAGTGAAGAGAATACATGCCAAAAGGGATTCACAATAGCGCCACAATGTTTGCTGTAGAAACATTGAAGTTCTTGGACGTTGAGTTGACAAATGGAACGGCCTGTACCGGCACGCACGTGCGTATCACACCCAGATCACATGATTCGGTGAACCGTTCAACCCAACCAGGACCTGACACCAAACCCACCCCCCACTTGATACCTCGACCCCTCGACCCGACGAATCCTCTCACCTCGCCACGGCGCCCACCTCACCGGATCCATGGCCGCAGTTGAAGATCACGCCGTCTACAACGAGGGAGACATCGACGACGAGGACGACGAGGAGAGTCTAGATCGGACCCGAAACGACGCCGCTATGGATGAAGACGACGACGACGACGACGAGGACGTCGAGGATTATTCCACTTCCTCCTCCAACCTCGCCGCTCCAGATCCCCTTCACATCTCCTCTGCTCACCCTGCCCCCCGGGCGCTGGTTTCTTCAGGCGATGTCACGATCGCCGTCGCCGGTGTGAACTGCGATCCGGGTTACCTCAATTTGAAGCCGCACCGGACCGATAACGTTTCTGTGGCTGCGACCTCGCTCACCGTCTACGAAGAGAAGAAGCCACCTGCTGCCTTTGACGATTCCAGGAAGCTGTTCCAGCGGCTCTGGACGGACGAGGACGAGATCGAATTGCTGCAAGGGTTCCTGGAGTACACGACGCATCGCGGCGCGATTAATTCGTCGCACCACCACGATACGACCGCTTTCTATGACCAGATCAAGAACAAGCTGCAGCTGGAATTCAACAAGAACCAGCTCGTCGAGAAGCTCCGGCGGTTGAAGAAGAAGTACCGGAACATCGTGAGCAAGATCAGCGCTGGAAAAGATTTCGTCTTCAAAAGCGCCCACGATCAAGCTACCTTCGAGATCTCGAATAAGATCTGGAGCAACGGCGGCTCTGCCGTGCGCGGCGGCGGCCCTGTGCTGTCCCTGCCAGCTGTGGAATCAGGCGGGTTTGAAGAAGAGTATGCAAATCCTTACCCTAACCAAAGTTCCAGCATCAATGACCATAGCCCCAATCTTAACTCCAATTCCGTGGACCCTAAAACAACACCACGCTCAAGAAAAAGGTTGAGAGTAGGTGCTGCCGTGAAAGTGGAAGAAAAACAAGGGTTGATTAGTGAACAATGTCAGCCATCACCCAGTGTCACTGTAGTGACACCTCCTATTCCTATAGCAAACAACACCCCCACCCCCACCCCCACCCCCACTGCAGCGCCAGCTACTTCTCAGACTGTCACGGCTACTCAAATTCCAAGTTTGATTGAGGAAACTGTCAAAAGTTGTCTGTCTCCCATATTCAGAGAGTTACTGAGCAGTGTGACACGTTTGAATGGGGGCTCGAGAGGGTTCGGATTTGGAATGGGATTAGGCCCGGTACCACTCGGTTTAGGAGGAGAGGGAGGAGGGCTTTCAATGAGTGCTGAAATGATGGCTGATGAGAAGTGGAGGAAACAGCAAATGCTAGAGCTGGAGGTATATTCAAGGAGATTAGCTTTGGTGCAGGAACAAATAAAGGCTCAATTGGATGAGCTGAGATCAATGGGAAGCTGATGATGGAGTAAAGGTTGTATTTTTAAATTATTAATAATTTATTTATAAATCTGCAGTAGGTCGTAAACTTTATCCATTGTTGACAATGGCTGAAAGATTAGCGGGGCATTCTGATACCTGTTTAGATTTAACGGTGGCTGTTATAAATAACGAGTTTAATTCTGTATTTCCTGGCTTGTTTGGAAAGTTCATAACTTTGTGCAGATAGATGCTTGACATGTATATGGGAATGGATACGGTAAAAGTGAGCCTTTTTATGTTCTGCGAAGACAAATTTTCAATCTTTTAAAGTTATAATGTGATATGTGCCTGTCATTACCTTGTTTGATCTTTTCATCAATATTTTGATTGGCTTGTCTGTGAAGCTCTAACACAGTGTAGTAGTCAGTATCGTATTTGATATATTCCTCTCTGATAGCTTCCATGTGGAGTCAACTTTTTGTGTATAGAAAGTTACTTGAAATGTGCATGGAAATTGTTCTCATAAGAGCTTCAAGCTACTACGTATGAGAGAGGCATGACAAATAATAAACATAAATATATCCAGTTTAAATAAATGTTGTATTTTCATCATCATTTTCTTTCCTTCCGGATGTCTGGTTACTCTGGTATAGTTTTCTTCTTTATTTTCCTTTCCTATCATTTTTAAGGGTATGTTTGAGTCATGGAAAATGCTACTGATAGGAAAACAAAAAAAATTCTATACTTGAATCATAGAAAATACTACTGATTACTGAAAGAAAAACAAAAAAATTGTTTACTTGAGTTTTCCTTTGTCTCGAAAAATCAAAGAAAAATGCGTGTTTTATTTATCTTTTTTGCATTTATTGAATATATTTATTGAGTTGGTAAGAGTATCATTTTAATTCCTCCAGTTTCTATACTTCCAATTGTGCCCTCTTTTTCTGTACTATTTTCCGGGTTCCAAGAGACCGTACATGATTTCAACGATTTTTTTTATAGCTAGAATGTATTCTGCTCGTAGGCTCCTTACAGGCTTACAGTTGAGATACTTGAATAAGATTAACCACCTGACAAAAATAAATCCAACAAAGATGAGATAATTGCATCGTGTTACGCCACCTCAATTCCTCAACAATGATCAATGAGGGCTACATATCATACGAGATAAATTCTCTGATTTCAAAGCTTGCTGCTCTGTAAAGCGATTATTTTTAATATCTGAATGAAGCAGATCTCATATTTGCAAGAGATTGAGAGAAGCTTAAAGTGAAATATTATGAAATTGACAATTAAAGAAAAACCCCACACTTTATTGTATTGTACTCAACAAATGTATATATTCAATTTAAATGCAATTTGAATTTCACTATCCTGATTCTTTTTCAAATGTGTAAACTTTGGATATTTAGTATCATTATAATGTCAAGGGAAGATAAGATTGTTTTTTGGAAGATGGGCAGGGGGCTGCCCCTTTTGATCAATAAAGAGTGAACTTTGTTTTTGTCTTCTCGAACACTTGCTCTGCAATAATGGCCCCATTGCCATCAGCCCTCTTTATCTCCAAGTTAGCCTTTTGATAGACACCAGTTCCTCTTAGAGCATCTGCAATAAAGTCATCAAATCCAATGGCAATGGCAGCTTCAGCTTTGGCTCCATAAACAAGCCTCTGCAATACAAATATCGGATGAAATCAGAATTGTATAAATAAACATGGCAGCCATGAATTTACTTCGATGAAGAGCTGGAGAAAAAGGGAAAAAAGGGGAGGAAGTTTGACCTTAATTCGTGAAAGATGTATAGCACCAAAGCACATTGGGCATGGCTCACAAGAGGCATACATTTCACAGTCTGATAGCTCAATGCGGTTCAGCTTTTTGCATGCCTGAAATCAGCAGGATAAGGAGAAGCTATTTTAGAGACAAGACATGAAGCACCAGTGCTCCCCAATAGTTATGAGCACGGTGACTGAAGAAGTCATTAATAGCATAACCACACCAACTTATAAATATGATACAATGAGCAACACAGATAACAGTACTTACAGCAATTATGCTTCTTTAGCACTCATAACAGACAAGGACTTTGATTGATAGAGCTTTTCAATAGTTATCAAGGCCATAGAGAATAAGTTGAGAGACTTTCAATGTTTTAGCATACATAAAATAAATAAGACACGTCAAATTATCTAGCCTCATCATCATTATCATTGCCCAGAGCCGCAAAGGCTCCCACCTAAGGTGGGGTAAGGGAGGTTGGATGTACGCAGCCTTACCCATGTACTAAAGCATGGAGAGGCTGTTTCCGGATGACCCATAGTGAAAATCGCGTAAAAAATTACATGGACTGGCTGCTGCTTCATAACAAAGAAGCGCGACCAGTTTAGTGAGCCATTTTGCTCTATTCCATCATATTCCATCATATTCCAAGCCAAAAAATAGTGAGTCTTTGGCTCCATTGCAAAAAATTATCTAGCCTAAAAGCTTAATGTAGTTTGTGTCAAACACATCAGCAAGCAAACATGAAAGCACCATGTAACATTCGGGAAGGGGTGATAATGGCAAAACAACCTCAGATGAAAAGCAGTCACAATGCCTTTTAGAAATAGAGTAGTCATTTTCTCCACACATTTTAACCCCTTATTTGGTTGGAGATTTTGAAGAAGAGGCATGGGGATGATTGCTATGTAATTTATTAAAATGTTTGTATAACAGATGGCCGTGAAGAAAGTTGAGATGAAAAGCCAACATGTATTAGCCCAGTGGCCCTCCCGTTTCAAGAGGGCAACACAAGATCTAACCTCGTAAACAAGACCAAATCTCACCAGGCCTTTCATATTGTGATGCTGTTGTGATTGCCTCGCTCTGCAATGTGCAGGAGTTATTTAAATTGGACCACTTCTGGAAGGACTGAAGAAGTATACACATAAACACTATGTGAGACTAGGGTTGTTAACGAACCGAGCTTTTATCGAACTATTCGAGTTCGAGCTCGGTTTCGAACCTAACGAGCCGAGCTTAACGAGCTTTCGAACTCGAACCCGAGCTGAGTTTTAAGTTCGAAATATTAATCGAGCCGAGCTCGAACATAGTAGTATTAGGCTCGGTTCGAACTCGAGCCTATCGAACACCCTGAAATTATAAATATAATTTATATATAATAAAAATTTAAATATAATTAGTATGATTTTAAGCATTTAAATATGTTTATTAACGAACCGAATACTTGTCGAATCATTCGAGCACGAGCCTATTAACGAGCATCACCTAAAATTTTAAAATCGACCATATTTATCGAGCTTAACGAGCGCTCGGTTCGAACATCGAACGCCTATCGAGCCGAACACGAGCCTCATATGTAAAGCTCGCCGAGCTTCGAGCTCGAACCCGAACACCATTAATTCCTTATCGAGCCGAACTCGAGCTTTAGGTGTTCGGGCTCGGCTCGTTAACACCCCTATGTGAGACCTAGTGAGTAATGTCCTACTATTAAACCCAACAATGATACAGGAGTAAGTGCATGTGAAGGCTCTCAGGTTTGGGATGTAAACATTTTATGTTGTTGAATTGTGATCGACTTCTACTTTTTGGTAGAGGGGTGTTTGGAAGGGGAGAGATTGATCTGATAGCAACACTATTGCTTACTACTAAACCAAAACAACATAAATTGCCATTTTCTCCTACAAATTATCAAGTGAGCCAGTCAAGTACGGCAATTTGCATAAAGTCCCTTACCCCCTAGGAAGAGTATGTAAAAGGAAACTCTTTGTCCAGTGACCAATGCTATGGCTGATTGAGGAATGTTTGATATCGAATGTTGTATACATTAAACCACAAAATGAATAAACCCCCACTGTACAATCAGCATCTATTCCTCTAATCAGAACAAAACTACCACACCTAGCTTACCTCGCATTATATTTGTATATCAATATAAGAAGGGTGTTGTATACCTCATGCAATTAAGCTAAAAAGCACTTCTAGGTTATCTCTAAATACCGTATGAGAACATCCAGATTCAGCGACACCTTCATGTTCACCAGCTCACAGAGAAAAAGTTTCCCTAGTTCATTAGTTGGAAGGCTCGCCCAAGATATGAGCACATATGGGTATATGAAGCTGGCTAGGGTTTAAGGACTAAAACCTTCTCACATAAAGGTCCAACACAGAATTTGAAATTTTGTGAGCGAGCTAGGATCTTATATTCACTACATTGGGGTATGGGGTGTGGAAGACCTATTGGTTTTCTGAATAGTGAGAATGAACAATCAGGCAGAGTGTGCACCCATGTGTGCGTGCCTAATTTTTCTCATTTTTACACGTTTTCCAGCGCGCCCACCAATTACTAACATGCATTCATATAATTATCCATATGTTGATGTGCGCGCCCACCAATTACTACATATACTCCTATTGTCCCACAATGTTTGAACTATCATCATCAAAGTTGTCGAGCCAACTTAAATAAGTCACTTGATAGTTTGAATTAAATTTAAAATTTCTATCAAAATGCCACAACATTTCTATTTTTGCTTGTTATTTCATGGGTAACATAATTAAGATTCATCCTTCTGTAATCTTTAATATGACCATTATTCTATGGGATCTCTATTTCAGGTATGGAAAGGCGAGTGAAGAGACAAACTTACCTTTACCTTTTACCCTTTTCCATTTACTTAAATGCCTCTACTTTATGGTAGAAAGGGCAAAATAGTAAAGCCAAACTTAATTTATTACCACCCTTAATTTTTGTATCAGTCAACTTTTGCAATTCAAATTGCGACGGAGGGAGTACTTTGGTTGATAAGTTTCATACTATCCTCCGTTCCATAATTCTTGCAACAGTTTGACTTTCACGTTTGTCAATGTACAACTTTGACTGTAATTATATTTAATTATGTATTAGTAAACATTATAAAAAGTTGATATTTTGGAAATTCACATTGATAAGAGTTCAATAACATTTTATACGTAATAATTTGATTATGTATATTAGTAGAAAATCATGGTCAAAGTAAGATCTGTGAATAGTGTAAAAATCACAATGTTGCAAGAATTATGGAACGGAGGAAGTATTTAAGAACACATTTTTAGCTTTGCTTATAGCCAGATATAAACACTCACCTGAATTTAGTACGGAGTATTTTATGCAAGTACCAAATCTGGGTCAAAATGATCACGACACTATAGCAGTACGACTTTGAATCTAAGAGTTCAAAATCATACACCGTGAATGATTTTTGTAGTAATCATCAAAGCTGCCCCCCTTGCTTCTGGAATATATAATTCAATATATTGCAGTCAAGTAGAACTTGGCTACTGTAATAAATTTAGACCATGTGTACTCTCATTATATAATAGGGCAACAGTTACAATTAAATGTAAGTGATAATTTCAATATAAAACCTCAGAGAGTTTTGGGATCTCAAGAGAGGACGAGGAGTACAACAGTATGGACGGTTTGTGAAGATGTGCCTAGGAAGCTTTGACATTAAGCAAAGCATCTTGAGATTTCAATAGTAAAACTGGACTTTAATGCATTACGTGGCAGCTGTCACCGCAGCTCTACCGAAGGTAGGGGTGATAGTGGTTTTACATTTACGGAAAGTTGACCCAAAATAAGACAATACATCAGAATGGTCTCCAAGACTAGTTAA